ACACGCGCTATGATGTAAATGCCAATCAGCCATCTGTGTGTTTTCAGTCCAGCTGGCTGCCTCCGATTTGAGTCCCTGATATCATCACAAAGGCTTTTCATTTCCCGATAACTTCACAAAAACAAGTTATTGACTGAGAGGTCTTTGACAGCAGAGCCAAACAAGAGTAAACATCCTAAAGGGAATTTAGCTTTTAGTTGCTCCAGATTGAAATACTGTTAAATACTTAATAGCTCTTTAGTGTTTTTACTCCCTCTGTGGATTCGCTAATCCAAAGTAGTCTATTTCTCATTATACAGGAAAGAAAGCCTGTTTTAAGCCTCTGTTGGCCTCCACTAGTTGTTTTTTAATGACCTCTGTAGAAGGTAACCAATAACACCGAAGTGAAAAAAAAAGCGGTAAAGGAGAAATGCATTATCGCTGAGTCATCTGCCAGGGTGAAACATGCATCGCTGGAGTCCTTCCCAAGGGGAGGTGTAATGATTTCTGTAGGCGTGCAGAATAAACCTGCCCGGCCCAAATATAAATAACAGCCATTAAAGCTTATCCCAGTGAGGAATGCTTTTATGAGAAACCCTGAACAATATACAGCATATATACAGGTTATTAGATTTCTCTGGGGGTAAAATATAGTGACAGGTTCGACTCAATATATCCAGACTGCCCACAAGTGCAGCTGGAGGAGAAAATTGACCATGAATGTAACAGCTTAGTCCATTTGTCTTTGACTTCACGAGAATTTCCTCTTTATCTCTATCAAACTCATTTGTTTCATTTGACTTTTGACCGTTTGATATATTTATTTTCTTGTTTTTCTAAATTTTGTGATTGCTTTTAAATTTATATTTTTTAATACTACAGTACATGACTATACTTTGTGGGAGCTGCAACACTGAACAAACTTTATTGTCGCTTATTTACAAACAAAAAGTCTCAAATTTATCCATTTTTATGACATTGAAACGGACAGACTTTTTTGTCATTTTTCAATTTCCTAAAAAACCTATGAAATACTTTATCTTCAGTTAACATTATTGACTCAATCATAGTTGAGGTCCTTTCACACCAGGACCGTTTTTTTCGTGCAGATATTTTTTTCGAACATGTATCCTGTCAATACAAGTGTTCACATCAACAACATTTTCCCATCCTGCGATGTTGCGGCATTTATTTTTTCGGATCACAGTTTCTTTTGGATTTCGGATTTTTCTAAAGTTTCCCATACTGTGTCCACTTCTGATCAATCAGATTGCGTGTTGTTGTGATGTCTGATTCACAGGTATATCCAACTTGGCCAACCATTTGATTGTTTACGTGTCAGGGAACAGAGTGCTTTTTGATAGAAGACACAAACATTACAAAGATAACGACCTGAAGGACAACTTGTGGACAGTCATAGCGTCGGATTTCTCATATGACGATAGTTTGTGTGCTTTAACAGTTTGCTAAACGTCTTTGTTTTAACTTTCATCTGTGCTAAGTAACTTTAGCTCGTAAGCTAACCTGTTCAGATACAGCATACCATATGTATTTTCTGTCTGAAACTCAATCACGTTGTTGTCACAGCACCGTTAGCTTACGTTTATGGATTATAGCTTAATGTGCTTATCTGGTACTGGCCCCGACTCAGTAAATGCTATCATGACAGACAGACATCTTAACACTAGTGTCTAATCAGAACTGAAAAACAGTCAGTCTGGTGTTGTGTCAGTCTTCTCACTTTTTCCCCCCGGAGAGTCGCAAAATTGCATCAGGCTTGATGTGTATAGTCAGGCGCGTCAAAAATTGCCTCTGAATATTTCCTAATTTCGCATCGTATATTTGCATCGGTCCCGGTGTGTAAGGACCTTAACATAGCAAAAATGCATTAAACACATTTTACACAACACTTAAATGAAGGCTTTGGTGGTACAGCAGAAAGAGGTATACTGCAGTAAATTGTAAGATAAATTGAAATAAAGAATAATATTTACATCTACTTTTACCATGACAGTCAAGTGTCACACAGGTGTCACAGGTATCAAGCAAAATAGTCAGCTATGTCTTAAGTTGTTGGAGCGGGCCACCTCTGGGCACCCTCTGAATCCACCCCTGAATAATCGACAGAAAACAAAGATATTTCTCATTTTTTATCTAATAAAGTCAAATAGCCATGTTAAACTTCAAAGCAGGGTTATACTTTCATAAAATTGTCTTTTAAATAATTATCAGGGGACCCAGAACTAAGCCTTGTGGAGCTCCACATCTTTGTTCGCTCAAATATTTCAAAGAGCAATTTCTTTTCCAAATCAAATAATCTTTTCGAGACATTTAAAGAAGCTTCTCCAGGACTACTGAAACTGTTTTTATCAATTTGAACGCATCAGTTTGGGTTGGTTGGTGAAGCTGGGGCATCGTATACAGAAATCTATATTGATGCCTTTCCTTGAAGTACAACAAAAAAGACCAGAATGCAAGAAACTGCTGACAAAACCCCAACAGTTTTTAGTCATATCTACACAAAATATTTCTGTTCAATGTTCAAAATCACATTCACAGGAAGATATGCAAAATTGCTCTGTCCACCGGAGGTGCCTCATTTAAAAGTTCCCTACAGGGGCTTTAATATGAATATTCAACTTTGGATGAAATCTACTGATAATCAGGAGAAATGCTAATAATTATAACAATGGTTTAAATGAAATTTTGGCGTGCTGTAAATGGTTGGCGGGTGGTTTAAATTAAAGAAAAATGACCTGTATCCAGATAACATCTACTTAAACTAGTTCATTAAAACAGCTTATCCACCTCTGCTACCATCCTCTATGATCAGACTGAAGAGAGGCTGATAAATGCAGAACAAGACCTAATTAAATTAAATTATTAAAATGACAATGTGGTAATCAAAATATGAATAGCAGTCCATTTCCCTGCAAATAACACTTAATAAAGCTAAATTTAATAAGCTGGAATGAGTGGAGACTGCTGCTGAAAAAAGGATGGAGTGGGTGTAGAGGGACGCTCCAAGGCAAAAGGAAACAGTGACAGAGACATGGGTGGAACATATGAAATTATAATGTTATAAATAATGACAATGTGGGGTGTGTATTTTTGGCCTGCACAGGACAGACATGCTTTTATAGCTGGGACACTTAATTGGTCTTAATAGTCGACATTCAACGAACACAATGACCCACAAATCTAGTGTGAATGTTTGTTGCAGTGTGTGCTGCTTTATGTGACGCTCGTGTGATTTTTGTGATTGAGGTTTGGAGGAGCAGTCAGGCGGGAAATCAGTGACATTCACACACCTGGTTCTCCCACCTGTCGCTGCTAGAAACTGACCGTGCGCCTCACTCAAACATCTGCTGCACGGCCAGACCAGAGCCGTAAAACTGAAGCGATACCAGCAGCCGGGCTGAACGATGTGTTTGCTCTCCTACCATTTGGTGCGTTTTATTGCACGGACACCTTCACTGAACAACAACTACTCACTCAAAGAAACACAAGGCGCTGATTCAAGTTCAATAAAAGCAGTTTTATCAATACAAGGAACAAAAACCACCTGTTCTTATGTTTACAGGGAGACACTTCAATGTACAATACGACTCTTCACAAAACACTGAAACTCTTGTGTTGGAATAAATAAATAAAACACAAACATACAGTATATACATGTTACTAAAATTACATCAACACACTGCCACTGCTTTAATGTCTCATCAGGAACAGAAATTAGACCGATTCAACTTTTAGTTTCACAAGGATTGGCACAAGGACTCCTTTATACATACAAATGCCTGCGAGAGGAATACACATCACAAATATTCAAGTTGAAATAGATTAGCGGTGAACATGACAGCATCAATAAGGCAGCTTCGTTTCATCAGTCTATCAAGAGTATAGTCAAGAAAACAGCCTGGCAAGAAAGTAGAAATAAAGCTGGCAGTTCTGCGAGGCTAAACAGTGACACAGCGGAGTTTGAGATAAATGCTAATGTCAAGATGTAGATTTTCAAGAAGTTTGATGTTCATGTTGGAGGAGGACTGTGGCTACTGAAAACATTTAGCTTTTCTGTAGGACTTGTGACTTTCAGTGCCAACTTTAACCAGCTCTGCTAACATTTAAGAGGGTTGAACAAGCTGAAATAATTCGAACAAGTGTTGCAGTACTGAAGTCCAGGCTCAGGACTCGACTTGGACTTGACTGCATCAGGAGGGGGATGATAAAGAGGCGGACTACAACTTCAATATTACATTTAACTCTAAGTAGGTGTCTCTATGATGTACAGAAGCTAATGAGATAACGAAGAACAAGATTTATTCTGTCTATATCCTCATTTTTAATGCTTTTAACTGCTAGGTACTCTCGAGAAACAGCCTTTGTAACTTTTCTCACGCCAAAATATTCCTGCTGAGTCATGAATTATTCAGTGAAAAGATGATAGAGGAATATTTTTGTCAATCCACACCACTTTCAGGCAAAATTATCATCAATAGAAGTTACCACTTTGTCCACAGGGGGCGCCAAAGTCAATGGAGACAGAAAGTCCCTCATAGGTGCTTTATGTTCATCTAAAACTTCTGTTCAAGTGGTTTAGATGTTCCTTAAGTCTTTGCCACAAATAAATGTAGCAGCAGATAGTTTACTGTTAAAAGTCGTAACAATTAATTGCACAAAGTTTTTGTGTTTTCTCAGCTGTCTCTTCACTGCTTACCCCTCAGCGAGGCTGAACTGAACTCAAATAAAAGAAAACACACACTGACAGATGCAGAAACTTTTAGAGATGCTGTAATAAAATAAAAACGGAGAGCTTCAGGGGTTTGAGGCACATGTTTCCTTTCTTTTCTTTTAAACGGGGTTGTGAAACATGGTTCTTCAGTCCACCACTCTGATAAAATTCTCATAACAACACAGCTGCGACAGTTCTCTTTAACCATATCTGTGCTTATTTCATCCCAACAAGAAAAACATGCTTTAGATAAAAGAAATAAATGGATACCGTGTCTGAAAACACGCTGTCACACCTCATCTTTCAATCCTAATGTTTGGTTCTTCACGTTACACTCGGCTCGTACATAAACAGAGCGTGTCTGATAAATGAAAGAGGGACAGTTTACTTCATCCTGAGACCGACAATCGCCCACAAGAGAGAAGCGCCTGATGTTTTTGCTGATATTGACGGCACGCTTTTTCTCCTTTGTGCTAAATTTAATAAATACGGCGCTCGAGGGACCTGGGGAAAGAAAAGGAGGCAGATAGAAAGGACAGTAAAAAAGGAAAAAAGGTGCAGCTGCAGGGACCGGGTCAATAAAGACCACACACACAGACTTAGAAAAAAACTGAAAAGGAGGAGACATTCAACACCCAGAGGTGCCTCAAGCTAAGGTGCAGGACACATGTGAGACTGAAACGAGCTCTTTTTCTCTGCTTCTCTCTGTGTGCCACCAGTAACTTTACACTTTACCGGAAAAAAAAAGACAATTAAAGGTCAAAAACATATTTTTTTAAGTAAAGAGAGCATGACAAAATGAAGGAGAGCTTTCTGAGGCCAGCCTGAAAGTCATTTTTCTCATCCCAAGTGCCGGTTTTTAGTCTTATTTTCTGAAACACTCATAGATACACGATAGTTTCCTCACTGCCTTCCTCCCCTGCGCTGTCAGTCTCCAAGGAAACCAGGGCGCTGAGGTCCAGCTGAGGTTCACTGGTATGTGGCAGCTCTGGAAATGGGTCAGCTCCGCTTGCAGTCGAAGACCAGCTCTCCCTGATGTAGCCGTGACTGTTGAGATCTGAGTGGGCACAGGAAAAAAAATCCACAATTATTCCTCTGTGTGTTTGCGTGCTGTTGAAAAACTGCAGCCTCTCACACTGATAATAAAACAAGCGCTGAAAATAGAGACGATGCACAGGCGCTAAATGCTGCAGTTCCTCAAGTGGCCTTTAGAGGCTGCATCCTAATGTGAGTCGATCCCCATTTAGCCAAATTTAAAAATAAAAAAATTTAATAAAAATACAATAAGTGAGGACATTTACTAAAGTTATACAGGTCTGTGGTGTTATTGATGCTGTTTGGGGTGGGTGCTAAAGCCTAGCTTGTGATTTGAAGTTGCCAGGCCCATCACTGAAAATGAACATTTTTGAAATGAAAATTAAAAGCAAACATCTACACTTGGATCTGAGTGGTTTTAGGTCTGTTCCATGACTTTCTGGAGCATTTTGGTATCTGAATGTTGCTAACACCCCCTGGAAAAATTAAGATTAATCGAAAGGTCTTAGGTCACAATCATCAAATTGTGCTTTTGTATTACAATTATATCTTATATTTAGTTATTTCCTGTCATGTTTTGCAGGAGAAAGTCTGGTGTTTGTTAGACACAAGGCAGAAAACCTCGCATTTTAGCCACAATTTTAAGTTTGAAATGTTAATGAATCATTTAAGTTTGATTAAGTGATTTTAAAGACATAGTTTGTGGGAGAATATACAGATAAATCATTCTCATGTTGCATAGAGTGGTTTATTTTTGTGGCATTTCAAACAGCTGTCACTGTTGCTACTAAAAAAGGTGATAAACAGTTTCAAACAGAAATGAAAAAGGCTTCAGGTATAGTGATTTTTGGGCAGAATTTGACCTTGTTAGTTACATTGTGCTCAATTTTGACTTTTTTTAAAAACTTAAGTCGCCATAAATAGAGTCTTCTTCTGTGGAAAACAATGTAGTCACCTTATTCATTTACCTGTTAAAAAAAAGCTTGGTGTTAGCCAATCCCTCGCACTGCCCTCTCCTCTAAATAAGGTCATTCCTGTCACGAAAAACAAGATGCCAACCGCCAAATGCCAAACTTTGACCTTCCACGAGGAAGATGACAGACCAATCGGGAACCCTATTCAGTCTCTGCATAACATTAACCAAATTCTGACTCGAGAGACTTCATCGTTTGCTAATCACTGATAGATAATCACCAGAGCGGGGCCATGAAGCCACTTGTTTAATGAGCTCAGTCTAATTGTTCAGCCCTCTCATCTAATCAAACTGCAGAGAGATCAGCCACAGCTGCTGCAGCTCAGCCTGCCTCTCCCTCCTGCACTTAAGAAGGAAAAACCGAACCATTTTCCAGCGATCCATCATCGCTTCTTCCACTCAGAGATGTCACTTTTATTATTTTTTTCATCAGCGCCATCGGACGCCCTGCCCCGGATCGGACGACACCTGCCTCCTCACACTCCACGGGAAAGAGATGAGGAAACAACAGAGCAGAAACGAGGAAGGATGAGCACATGCACGGTGACAGCGGCGTTCAGGCAGATAACAAGGAATCGAACCCGTGAGCTGGCAAACAGACATAACATACCACCTCCCCAGACGGAGGGATCAATCAATATTACCATTCAATTAAAAAATCTGTTGTTTTGTTTCTGCGGCTGAACGAGTGTGTGTGTGTGTGTGTGTGTTCTTGTATCTTTACATTAGTGTGCATGCTGGGTGCTTTCTAGCATTAGGGCAGGTGTGCTGTCATGGTAACAGATGGCGTGAACTATAAATTGCTTCATTGTGTCCCTGTAGGAAAGTGTCTCTGTTTGATTAATTATATAAGAGTCTGTTAGCGTAGCTCTGTTAGCCTCCATATAGGCCTGTCCTCTGATAGATGAGACATCAGTGTGCAGCCAATGATAAAAACACTCCATCTCTGTCTTTGTGCGTTTGCCGTAAAGTAGCTGGATTTTAGCTTCATTAAGATGTTACACACAGACTGCAAAGGCTGCATATTTTACTCTACACAAAGATGGTAACACAACATAAATGAAGCAGTATTCTGTCTCCAGGTTTGAATTGATGGGAGTAAAAAAACTGATGACGATTTGGCTATGATAGGTCTGGAACTCCAGGTGACTTCAGGAAGCCCAGTCTAGTACTAGAACTCTTCTACTACAGAGCCATAAACCTAGGCAGGATATATGACCTATACTGCAGCCAGTCACCAGAGGGTGCTGTTCTCGGAGTGGCTTCACCCAGTGAGGAGGCAGACGGCGTTCATTCTATGTAACAAATTGAGTGGTCCCTTTTTTTTTTTAAGAGTGCAGGATGTGGTGTCCATGATCTCGAAAAAGATGTCAAATCTGAAGAAAAGCGCCGGTATTCTGGAGTCATATTTATTAAAGTTTTGACTTGCATTCGTGGGTGCAGCAACCCGTTCACAAACCATTGTGTTAGCAAGTGAATCTGAACCCATGCAGTGATTTTCACTTCAGAGCCATGTTTGTTTTTATTGCAGTGAGGGCCCAGAGATGATGGCAAGGTACCCACTGAGCATTTTTTGGTCTAAAAGAGGTCTAATAGACGTCTTAATGTAGCCTAGACAACTGGTCTAAAATCAGGCTACCACAGGTCTAAAAATGAAAGTTTTTTTTAGATGTCTAAATTAAGATCAAGTTTAGACCAAGTCTAAATCTGGGCTTTTTATATACTACGCTGTATATTGCTCAATGGCTATCATAATTATTTTGGTTGAGTACTTGGGGATCAGTTATGCAACCCACTGTTGCTTTTTGAAATAAATAGTTATCGAATAATGGGTTAAAGTGCGACGTCTAAATTCTGTCTGAAAATATACAGAATCTAGACAGTTGAAATTAGTTCTAAAACAAAACTGGACATCTAATATCTGACTGTTGCTCAGTGGGTAAGTACATTCAAGAAAAAGTTCATCTGGACACGTTTTTTCTGGAGAAGCCGATAAAATTAACAAAGCTACAAAGGGTCTCCAGAGACATCGAAGGATTACACTCAAGTAAATCTGGAAGTGAAATAATTTCCAGTTTTGTTGAACCGAAGCAGATAAACAGATGAGTCAACAGTGAAACTCATGACCGGGCTGTGAGGGTTAGTCAACTTCATTGTAGTTACGAAAAAATTTTCTGCTCCGTGGGAAAAAGGTTGTTCTAGTTTCTAGGTGCTCTATTAATTGTCCTGTCGGGATCAAGTTAAATAATAATTAGGTTTCATTAAAACCATTACTGTGCAGGAGGCTGCTTTGTTGTAAAGCCACAGATCCGGTTTGTGCATCTTGCAGCTTTCGTCCTATTCAAGGTGTGATTTATTCTGCAGACCTAAAATAGGAACCAGTTTCATCTTTCTTTTCTTCTTTAGTTTTCTCACAATACTCTCATCCTCTGCCAGAGAAAGTGAGCAACAAAAACCTGATACGACTCATCTGATGAAGCGTCATTTTCAGAGAATTTCATCCAACTGGTTTCCCGAGATTGCACTGTGCTGGGACAAATTATGGAGATCCACTCATTGGAAAAAAAAAAGGGTGTGTATTTGTGTGAATGTGTGTGAGAATGCTTCAGAGAAAATGTTCACATGAGCAGGTGAGAATGAGAGAGAGCGAGATCTAATTTTTGATTCATGTGACTGACGGCACAATGGAGAATTAGCATTTGAAAGAGATTCCTTTTTCTGTTCACACGAGAAAAGTGAAGAAAACCAAACCAGGTTCTTCCACATACCAGGCAGAGAGTGAAACTGTACAATGAAGCACAGTAGGCCATTAAATCTGCTTTAGGTACTTACAAGAAGTAAATCTAAGTCTCCACTTTATCTTGGTTTTAAGTGACTTTTCTTTCAGCTCTAGGATTGTATTCATAGGACCTGCATGGACAGACTGCAGGATCACTGTGAGTGAAAATATCTACAAGTTCAGCATGCACTTTGTTAGACTTGTATTAAGTAGCTTAAGTAAACACTTTGCGTGGTCTGGTCTGCAGAGGTTCATAAAGAGGCTCCAGTGAACAAACAGCTCCTCCATACAGGGACTGTTCTGATGACAGAGGCACATCTAAACACCAGCTAACCAATTAATAATAAACGACCTCGGCTGATTAGAAAGATAAACAATGTCTGCAGACTCTGCAGAAGTGGTTGACTGATATCAGTTTTTCAATGGCTGATGCAAATACCAATAATGGGAGAGCAGATCAGCCGATAACCAATATTTGTTGCTCCTTTTTTATGCATATAACACAATACAATAATATGAGTTTACTAGCTATCAACACATTGGATAGCTGCAAAAGTCCAATATTGTGCATCTCTAATAAAGCCTTCATTTAAGTCCAGCAAATTCGTTTTATTCTGAATTTAGTTCTCAAATTTTTGTTATTTGTGGAGTGCCACAGGGTTCAATATTGGGACCCAAGTTATTCATATTATATATAAATGTAAGTAAAGTTTCAAGTGTATTAAAATTTGTTATTTTTGCCAGTGATATTAATATTTTTTGTACAGGAGAGAATCTTAACCATCTATTGCAGGATACCTCAGTGGAGTTCAGTAAACTGAAATTACAGTTTGATGAGAATAAACTCTCTCCAAACATGACTGAGACAAAGTTCATAGTGTTTGGATACAGAGGTTGAAGTGAGTATTGATAATACTAAGATAGAAAGGGTGTATGAGTGTACTTTTTTAGGGGTGAAAATGGACCATAATCTCAGCTGGAAACCCCAAATAAACTATGTTAGGTTGAAGCTGGCTAGGAGTATTGGCAATTTGGGTAGGACAAGACACATATTAAACCATAAAACTTTATAAATATTATACAATATGCTCATATTACCATATCTGACTTATTGCATTAAAGTCTGAGGAAATACATACAAAACGAATTTTCAACCTATTTATATTTTGCAAAATAGAGCAATAAGGATTGTTAACAAGGTAGGATTCTTCCATCATACTAATGAACTGAGATGATCGGTCGGTCTTCCTGTCGGCGTGAAGAGCAGTAGCGTACAGTATATCGAGTGCTCCTCATTTTGAGTTGGAAGTTAATTTTATTTTAACTGTTTGCACTTTTAAAATGTCATAAAAAATTTTAAAAATCGGCAGATTAATCGGTAATCAGATTTCCCCCCCCCCTAATAATTGGTATCGGCATCGGCCCCAAAAAATCCATATCTGTCGGGCCCTAGTATTCAAGGTCTTTGTTTTAGTATTAATGATTAGTTATATAGTCATGCTAGACTTTGGAGCTTTGGTTACTTTTTTGCAACGTCAGAAATTTCTTAAGACATGTAAAGGGTAAAGGAATAGGAAGGAATGAGGGTAAGTACATATCAGCTAAATAGCTTCAACCTACCTCTCCAAAAACAACAACTCCCTATTTATCGGCCTCAACAAGTTGAAAACTGCAATCTGTGGACCACTTGTACATAGAACCTATCTGAATTATCCCTTTAAATCCAGAGTTAAAAATAGGAGAATCTTTTTCATATCATCTCGGGCCCACTTGGGATTCACAGAGGAGTGCATTGTGGGTAGCTGTCAGCCCGAACGCACCCTGCCATGTAGAGTACGCTCCTCAAGCTTGTTAACAAGTGACTGGGGCTCCGGCGGGGCTCGCGTGTGCTCAATAACGGGGAAAAGGTTAATAAGCTGATCAATGAGGAAGACGTCATGCCGCCTCGAACAGCTGGGAAACAAAACCAGAAACTCCACTGCAGGTAACAATGACTCTATTTGTTCGTCTGACACATGTAACCTGTAATTTCCCCTCCTTCCTGCATGAATGGATTAGTAATGTGAGAATATATCTGACACCCCTGCAAGTGAAACACACATTAATACACTTCTGCATCCCTCCTCCTCCTCCTCCTCTCTTCTGATCTGATGACAAGTCACGCTGTAATGAGTTTTATAAAGATTTTTCTAGATCGATGTCCCAATCAGTCAGCCATCGCCTGTGAACTGTGATTCACACGCTGTTGTCTGCACTGCCTGTCGATAGATAGAGGAACCATCGATTTTTCTTTCCCTTTGGCAGCACAGGGCCCACGGCGCAACTGCTGGTGGTGCAGGTGGAGGTGGTGAAGAGGAGGAGGAGGAGGAGGAGGAGGGAGTTCTTTGTCAGGAGACACTGATTAACAGAGTGGAGGGACAGACAAGGCCTCACCAGGGAGACAGCCTTGAGAGCAGAGCCGATGTGTGTGTGTGTGTGTGTATGTGTGTGTGAGCGTGTATGTGTGTGTGAGCGTGGGTGGGTAAAGCCAGTGCAGGCTGAAGGTTTGTTTACATTCTCACAGGTAGCACATTTCTCCCTCACGCTGAGAGGCAGAGACAGACTGATAACACAGCTCTACTGTCCGATATCAGTGCCTCTCTGATTGGTGGATATTTCACATAACCAATCATAATAATCAATAATTAAGCTCCTTCTTGATCCACTTGTATGCTTTTCTATGTCAGGTCAATTGTAATGACAGATGATGCCTGACACATAAAAAAGTGCCTCCAAATTGTTGATTTAAACGTATTGATTTTTAAAAATGGTTTTCAAATGTCTTCGTGGTCTAGTTGCAACCTATTTATCAGGTTTGCCTTTAACTGAGGAGACTGTGAAGACCCTCAGGTCTCCTGTTAGTGATCTTTTAATGGTGCCCAAAGACCCACAGTGAAGCAGCTTTTCATCACTACAGCCCAACGTCCATAAAAAAGCCGACCTGAGGACCTGACTGATGCTCAGAGCGCCAATATTTTGAAAAAGGAGACTTTAGATCTGCTTTTTTAGTCTTTTTAATGAGTCCTGTGTGACTATATATTCACTTATTTATTAAGCATTAATTTCAATATTTTTTTAATTAATCGCATGATAGCGAGCAGTTAAATCACGATTAATCGCAAATTAATCGCACCTTTTTATCTATTGTAAATGTAGCACAAGGGGATATTTGTAAGGTTTTAATACTCTAATCAAACTAGGAGTGGACTCATGCTTGCTTTGTGTTATCATCATTATTATTATTATCATTATTACTGACACCAATACTATAATGATGCCACTTAATTACAAGTTTTATCCTGATATTGTATTGCGCTCATGTTGTATGACCTTATTTTATTACCATTATTAAATTTTGCTTATGTTTGGCACTTTACGTTACACTACTGTATAAAATGTGCATATATTACAAATAAATTCTGATTGATTAATTGATTAATCTGCAAACTGATCTAGAAACACCAGGCAGACCTGCACACTGATAAAACCTTCAAATCATTTGTAATTGTAGCAGGAATCAACAAGTAAAGACAAAGACTCAAAATGACTTCTGCTCTCCTTAATTTTTCAGAAAACTTTCCTTCACACCAGAAAACTCATGAACTTTGACGTATCTCTTACCTGTAGGCGTGTGCTGCAGCCCCAGCCGTCCTGCAGAGCTGTACAGGTATCCTGTCCCCATCACCCACCCCTGTGGGTCCGGGTGCTGGTTGTTGGAGGTCTTAGTAATGGGAGGCTGTCTGCTGTTGGTTCTTGCCAGCAGGGTGTTGAGACAGTTGTGTGCGCTGGGGTCATTTCTTTTGTGGTTGATGTGGCGGTTGTTGACGCTGGTGCTGGCGAAGGCGGCCTCATTCACGAACACGGAGCCGTTTCCTGCGTGATCTCTGGACTGACTTGAGGTGGAGTCCTGAGGAGAGAGTAGGAGACAGTAGGAGGTTTTACTTCTAATACCTATGAAACGGCTTGACTAATTGACCTTCAAATCAGTTTTGCTTTACCAGTCATTGGAGGTTCATTTTGACCACTTCCCATTGATATGATTAAGTAAAATAGAGAGTTAAAGGTGTGTATATGGAAACTTCTGGTCAAATTCAGCAGAAAACATTGGTTATTTTAACATTATCTACTCTGGAGAGATTATGCTGCTGTTGTAGAGACTTCAATCTAGAGACACACCAATCCATTTTTTTCCCATCCAACGCAATACTGATACCTGGGCTGAGTGTATTGGCCAATATCCAATACCGGTACAATACTACTGTTGAATGAATGAACTGTATACCTTGCCCTGTGAGTGAAGGCATCAGGCTTGACATTAGCCTTGTTAAAAAAAGGTAACAAATTAACACAGATATAAATTTACTTCATATTATTTTAAATGAATAACAAATTGCACATTAGCACACAACAAAAAGAAGTAAAACTTTTGTGTATTAAAAGAAAATTTGATTTAAAAAAAAAGAGTGGATTGGAACGTTGGATCGACGTCATTCATCAGATATCAGATCCAGTTAATTTGTCAATATCAGAGCCGATATCCGATCCAAATATCGTATTGGTGCATCCCTACTTAAATCAATACTATATCAAGAGATGAAGTCATAACTAGCTTCACAACAACAACCAGCATCAGCCATTCCCTGTATTTTAAGGTAATGTAAGCTGGCAGATCTTATTGTTAGCAACAATAAGAGATTATCTACATATAAATACTTCTTTAAATAACCCTTGAAAGAAGCTTGTTATTTTTAGTCTTTCAGTAATGTTTACTGGAAAGGATATTTTGATGCTAAATGTCTAATGGTAGCCTTGTAATGTATGATAAAATATAACGTTTGAGCCACAGGTGAGTCAGACCAGACTATGTTGAGCCCCGGACAGATAAAACTAAACTGCATTTACATATAACTAAAGGTTAAGTGTAAAAAAATGTTAGCCCCTTTGGGTAAATTGACCTTTTAATATCCAGTGAAATGTGTTGATGCCTCAGCCCCTCCTCCTGTCCTCCCCTAATACCCTGATGTACCATCCTCACACCAGCGTGGCCTTTTCTCTGCTGAGTGCAGGCACCACAGCTAATTAGAAACAACCCGAGAGCCAGCGTGTGTGCGTTTGTGTGTCTGTGGTGAATGCGAATGTGAGTGTGCGTGCGTCATCCGATCTGTCTGTGACCCCCTGAACTGCCGCCTCTGGCTAAAACATTAGCAGGGGAACATTAGGACCTCCGCTGCTGCCTCTGCGTGCTTTTGTCAGACTGCTGCCGTTCAGGCGGCCTCCACACTCACAGAAATAGATGAATGGAAATAAATAAATAAATAAAAAACAGAGCCTCATCACAAGCAGCCTGCAGGAGCCCACCAGTGGTGTGTAAATTAATGAGGGAGTGAGGGAATATCGTAACACGAGTCTGCTCATTTGTCCGTCCGTTTGAGTGTGTGCGTCTCCTGAACAGTCACACCTGCTGGACCCGGCAGAGACGTATGTGCTGCTGCATTAGCTTCCTCCGCATGTGAGAGGTACAATGAGCCTTAAAGGGCGCCGAGAACAGTGCACCCTTTATCCTCCATGCCTCCCAGCTGCGGGGGGAGACATTTCACTGTAGTGCTTTTCAAACAAAGTGTCGATAATTTAAGTCCACTCGGACGCGATTGATTGGTTTCTGGGGCCGCGTGCCTCTGGTTTTAATTATTTTGTCGGAGCTTTTATTTGCAACGGTTTAATTATCATCAATCATTAAGATGTTTATTGGGGAGCGGGGCTGCTGGAGCACTAAGACAAATGATGCTGAAATTGCTCTCATTATCGCAGGTCGTATATCAAGGGGAGATTGAGCTGCCCCGAGTAAATGAGTGAAGCAACGTAACTCAGGCTGATAGCTGCCTGGGAAAAAGCTTCTCGTTAATGTCTAGAGCTGGGAAATACTCCATAAACACCGCATATCTGATGTCAGGGTCAAGAGCCCAAGTCAGGAAACACAGAAGACCGAGCTGACAAAGGAGCACTGTGAGGGTCTTCATTTAGAGGGACAAAAACCTCCATCAGTGACTTCTTTTATTTCACATCAGAAAATGATTTTTTTTCTAAAGCCTTCTTTTAAATGTTTTTATTTTACAAAGAGAGATTCATTCATTTTTCTGTTTCATATATTGTTTCTTCTATCCAACCACTTCACATGTTTGGCTCAACAAGGGTGACCATATTCTGACTTCCTCAAAAGAGGAGTCGCATTAAGTTAATTTTGAGAGTTTTTCAGGTCAGATCAAGTGTCTTTACGTGCTTCTAACTCAGTAAGTCCACGTGACACAAACTCGAAATTTCCATACAAAACCGCAGACATTTAAAGGATTTTATAAACTTCCCTAGACAAAGCCGGACAGCCCATAAAAAAAGAGGACATATCTGGGTAAAAGAGGACGTGTGGTCACCCTAGCTCAACAGATATACCATACTGAGGCACCAATGGCACCCCAAATACAGAGGCTATAGTTCCTGGAGTTCGGCCATGACCCTTCGCTCTCTACTCCCCATGTTTCCTCTCTCTCTTCAGCTGTCTAATCTAATAAAGGCAAACATGCAAATTCAAAGCATCAAAACTGCATCATACTGCAGGGCGACATCAGCAGCAACCAGCTTCATATGACTTGAAGAGCTGCTGCATAAAAAAAGGTCAACCTGAGTCAACACTCTTCAATCAGCGCATTAACATGACAGATGTATTGAAGGACCTGTCTCTGATCTTGACCTGTCTGGTGCTGGAGGTCACATCAGGGTCAGAGTGAGACCAGAGAGATCATCTGATTAATCTCTGACTCGTGAAAAAAGAAAAATGACTCAGGTGTAGGTATCATCTATATGTGGGGAACACTCAGTACGTTTACATGACACTCCAGAAAACCGAATTATTGCCTTCCTCCGATTTAAACCGGACAACTGAAGTGCATGTTAACACCTTAGAACTCTGATAAAGACATCCAGATAATGCGATTGAAATTAAACTGCCTCTACCATGTCACCAGCGTGATCGGGCAATGCATGTGCGCGTGCGCCACGCCCCTGTAACCCCGAAACAAAAACGCCAGAGAAGAGGAGTAGCGTGCATCTAATCTGCAGAAAAAGTAGCGCGTACATTATGTACGACAAAAACAGCGTTGTACGATGCTCCATCTTCCTGCTTGAAAATGCCCAGAAGCAGTTGTAAACATTTCTGTTATGTCTGGCTCGGACCTGCTGTTGTCAGTTGTATAGAGCTGGAAACAGCGCCGCTGAAAAGACCCATATTGCCCCCTAGTTTTGGGAAGGAGGACACGCTCCTGTCAATAATTCGATTTTCTCAGCTGCATGTATACGCGGACAAGGAAAAAGAACGATTCAGCGAAAAAAAAAGAATTATGAGCTTAGTCCGATAAAGCTGTGCATGTAAACGCACTGAGTGTTTGAACTGAATGTTATGTTATGTGGATAATTTTTTACGTTATTTGGTTTTCAATCAACCAATCCTTCACAGCTTTTTTGGCTGCTTCAATTCTGCGTAAGTCGATCAAAACTGGTGTGAAAAAGTCAAACATTGATACAGAACCCAGACTGTTAAGGGCTGTTGTCATATGATATGTCAAGTTTCTGTTTTGTAGTACATCCTCACCCTAAAACCAACCATAACACTTTTCCACAGGGATCAACACCACTCTCCTCTCACTTTAGGTTCAAGTTTTACTCATCCTGTCTAAAAGTTTCTGAGGGTTTGATCCAGAACAAAAACCGGACCAGAGAAGTTGAGACTTTGTTATCCTCTTTTGTTTCCATTTTTTATATCTTATTCAATACTATGGTTGAAACTTTGGGCCCAGAAGCTGTTTTGATGATCAGCACACAGATTCAACTTTACCTGAGTCCCGTCTAGAGGGATGACCATGTGGGGGATCACAGCGGGCAGACTCCTCTGCCGGCCGTGCCTCCAGGTCTGCAGCAGCCTCTCCTCGTTCTCCAGCCTTTCCCGCTCCCTCTCCACGCTCCTCTGCCCCTCCCTGAGCCGCTCCAGACTCTGCTGGTACTCCTCCTGCTGCTCCTCCAACTCCTCCCTCTCCCGCCTCAGCCTCTCGGCCTCTAGGTGGCACTGCCTCTCCCGCTCCTCCAGTCGGCTCTCCTGCTCCCCCTGCTGGCTCTCCCTGGCGTGGCACTCCTTCTCCCAGCGCTCCTTCTCCTGGCGCAGCTGCTCCTGAAGTCGCCGGGCCGACGCCACCTCCTCCTTGCGCTTCTCCAGGTTACGCTGCTTCTCCTGCTCCTGCAGGGAGTTGATGCGGATGCTGGGGAGGTGCGGTCGATGGGCGCGGGGGGAGGGGCGGCCGGACTCTTGGAGGAGGAGCCTCTGGACCTCGTAGCAGCTGTCCTGAAGGGTAACTGCGGCCTGGCACAGACAAAGAGAGGCACAGAGATGGGTTCATTAAATGCAAAGTGCTCCAACCATTAAACCCACCTGTGCGACTGAAAGTCGGGGAGGTGATTTGAAAGGCAAAATGAGACGGAAAGTTTGATCCGACTCTGCAAGGTGACCCAATTCTTTTTATGGGTCAAGACTAGAGCAGCCCTCACAAGGTGAAATGATCCCATCATTACTGGTGAAACTGCGGTTTCTGCTCCAGTTGCAGGAAAGACGAGAAGCAGAACTTTGAATATGAAAATGACACTCTGATCAAATACACACACACAGCAAACAAGAATGTGTGCACACGTTCCTATATGCAAAAACACTACTTTACATTTTATACCAAAGAGCAGAAGAGCAGCACGTGTGTGTGTGTGTGTGTGTGTGTGTGTGTGTGTGTGTGTGTGTGTGTGTGTGTGTGTGTGTGTGTGTGTGTGTGTGTGTGTGTGTGCCTGAGTGAATGGTGGTGAAACAAAAGCGGTGAATCAGATCAGTAGGACTGTTGCTACCTTTGACTTCAAACAGCTGTGAACAGAGTTGTTTACCGGAGCTGGAGTGTGCAGCTGTGCAGCACGTTATTACAGCCTTCATCATTCATCCTTCATCCTTCATGATCGCAGTGAAAACAGAGCGGGTTGAAAATTTTCAGGTATCTGTGATAGACTCAAGTATCTTTTTTTCTGAAAACTCCAACAACTAATCTCCACATCTAAAACACATCAGAAGACTTCACCTGAGCGGTGCAGCAATCACAGAAAGGAATGTTCATTATACGGTGCATCCATCAGTTCATTTAATGGATTAAAGCAAAAAAGACAAACTCACAAATGAAGCTGAACAGTGAAAAACTTTTCAAATTTATCTGCACATCTGAGAAAAATCGCATGTTTTTAGTACGTCTTTGTTTCTGTTTACTTGATCTTGACTTTATTATTTCTGTATTGCAGCCTGTTGGTGTTTGTGTAGATCTTAATGAAAGCGTAGGATCAAACCCAGGATGAGGACTGCGTTTCCCATGAGCACCTTCACCAACTATATGGTGCACTTGATCAAGAAAGTCAGATAATGAAACATATCTGTTGGAGACATCACCATGAACATCTCTATAAGTCAGAATTTCTAATCTAAAACTTAAAGCAACTTCAGGATCCTCAAGCTAGAAATCCAAGATGGTTGCTGCCTCTAAAACTGTTGAACATTAAATGGTGATTATTAGTAATTTAGTCCAGTTTTAGTGTAGTTTAATCAATTACACCAATAGGTTTATGCAAGTTCTATTTGTGGGCATGTTTTCGTGTCAGGTTTTTGCACAAACTATCATGTAAAGTGTTGTTATTGCCTGGTATGCTAACAACAACAACAGAGCCCATTTAGGTGTGGAGTAGTGTTGTGATGTTCCAATCAGGACGCTGTGACTTCAGCAGCAGGGGAGGGTACGAGCCCGTTCAATGACCAAACTCCCGATCAACACCGCTGTGTCACTCACTCGTGTGCTGCACCTGGCAGGACGAGGCACTGGGGCACTGCCCAGATCAGTGAACGAATCTTTTGAACAAATCTTTTTATGAACGGATTCTAAAGATTCAGTACAGTCAAAAGAACTGTTCTTCCCATCACTTGTGTGACACTATTCCTGACTCTGACATATGCCTCTACATAAATTCAGTATAAATGAACATGCAGTTAAAAGGTTAAAAATTACATCAACAGAGGTTTGGTATTTCATAACAGGGATTCTTGAGTCTTTGAACCACCTGCAGTGATATCACTGCACCAGAATGTATCAGTGCACCTCTATACTGAGAGCACTTTTACTTACACACAGCACACCGCACTGTAACTTCATTAATAATAAACATTTTCCAGACATGCTGGCAGGATCAGAATCTAATATTGATGAATGAAACGTGTTCTCTGCACATCCAAAAGGTCGCAAACACACACACACACACACACACACACACACACACACACACACACACACACACACACACAGTCAGTCCAGGTTCACACTGTCAATACTTTGGAGTGAAACAGCAGACCTGGTTTTATTTCAGATTAATGAGAACTCACTTGACTTGGACTCGACTCAGAGTCTCTTTGGTGACTCAACCAAAACACTTGATTAGACTCTTTCTAAATCAGTAAAAAACTCCTCACTGTGCCTTTAATTTCATGAGACGTTTGCTGTGAACGATAATCCTACTCTACTCTTCCACTACACCCACTTATTTTGCATCATAGTGAATATTTTTTTATGGTTCATTGTTTGTTTTATTTCATTCTCGAGAAACCTCGTATCTCCAAATCCACTTCTTTCCTGGAAAGTAAAAACCTGTATGCTTTTCATGAAACTACAAACAGCATGAGACTCAACCTCAAACTTCATTTACCAGCATTAAATAAAGCAGAATAAATAAAATGGTGAAATATGGAGATACAAGATTTCTACCTGACAGTTATGTTCCCTGATACTGCTGTTTATTCCTCCTATGACACTGTATATGAAAATCTACTTTATAAACATGATTCTGATCTCTCAAAGATGAATTAGAAAAAGCACTGGCTCATAAATGTACTTCTTTATATAAATATGTTAGATCAGTAATTCTTCCGCCAGAGAAGTTTTCTGCAAGTATCTCTACTTTTACTTGAGAAATAATGCAGATACTTTTTCCTATTCTGCTGATCAGACATTAAAGTAGAAGAGGGAGCTGTGATTAAAAGTTGCAGCAGACTGTGTGATTCACTCACCTGCAGACTGTAGAGCAGCTGCGTCAGACTCTGGACGCTCTGAGCGACCTGTGATTGGACAAAATCACACAAAGCACGCAAGTTAGGAGGCTCACAGTTATTCTGCATTAGTCTGAGACAGTTAAAAAAAAATTTCCACTAATGAAAAACTTAAGAAGAGTCAAGACTTGAAGGTGGTTTCATGCAGCAAGTGCGCCCCCTTGAGGCCACACTGGAGCCAATAATAATGCGTTCCCCTCTCATCTCAGTCATTTACCTCCCAGGTCAGAAAAAGCTGCAGACGGTGGCACAATCGTGGCTCAGTGATTGGAACAAGTCTCCGTATCCATTTTTAATGTTGCAATACCTTTGGGACCTAAATGGACTTCTTCCTTTATTATGAGCTTATCAATGATTCATCGCATTAAGGCTGGGACGTAATTCTAATAGATGGTGCTGAATTATTGAAACAGCTGTTGGCAATCTTGAGCCACACATCTGCGGAGGAATGGAAAAGCGGCGACGGTCAGATGCCGCCTGTAAGAGCCGATAACGACCTCTGCAGAACTAATACCGCACAGTAATGGGACAACATCAAAGCTTATGGCGGCATCAATATTTAACACCTATTAAAGCTGCAATCTGTATTTATATCGATGATAAACCCAGATTGCCCAGAAGCTAAATGGCGGTACCTTAGATTGGATGTTATTGGCGTCTGTTTTCTGCAGGTGAGCAACAGACTGAAGGTCCGACGGCTCAGAGGCTAAACTTCCCTCACTGGTTTCAGGGTCTTCAGGTGAGGAGCCAGAGTCAGAGCAGGGCTGCGCAGGTGTATCAGACAGGAAGTCTGTGCCTGAGTCCGGCCTTGAGGGAGAGCAGGCTGAGGACGTCAGAGCGGCTTTCAGGTTCTCAGCTGTGAAACAAAACCAGCACAAGTGTTAGTTCAGCCGTCAGCTCGATCAGTTTGTTATTAAATTGGAGAATAATTCAATGAATGCTTGAGGAAAGTACGGTAACAAGCAGTGGCTTATCTCTCTCATTTATTCATTTTCACTAAAGTCCGCAGAGTGAATAATGAAATCATTTCGATAACTGGATTTCCGTTGATTAAATATACCTGCCTGAAATATTTCATAGAGTAAAGCAGCTAAAAGGCAGCGACTGAATTTCCAGAGCGAATTAAAAACTGCTTCAAATTACCTGTTAATGGATTACTGCACTTAACTTTAACACCCTTGATTAGCATCTATAATGAAAGCAGGTCGAGGTCTTAATTCATGAAGTACGTTTCAATCAAGAGAGGCAATTTTAACAGCATTAACAAACAATGAGTGATTTGTTTTTAATGATTCAGTCATCACATACTTTTTCAGTAAAGTCAAAAACAACCCAGATGTGTCCTTATGTTCTTGCAGTGCACAGTACTGGGTTCCTACTTAAGTATGGAAAGTGTGAAAAATGTGAAAATAAATTTGATCAATTTCCAGGTCTTAAAAAGGATGGAAAATGAAAAATAAAGTATGAAAAAATATTTATGTTTCATGACTATCACCACAGTTCTAAAATACTGTTTTCTAAAATGGAAAAGTAGGTATTTCCAAAAATTATTCTCAAAAGTAGGGTATGGAAAAGTATGGAAATTCTAAGAGTGTAGGAACCCTGACAGTCTATGTTCGAAACCTCCTCACCCTCTTGCAGAGCTGCAGCCAGTAACACGGTGGCCTGAGGCGGATCCTCCAAGTGCGGCTGGACGAGCAGACGCGGTTCGACCAGCGAGGCGTCCGTCCGTCCGTTCAGGGCAGAGAGTTCAGCGTAGATCTGCAGCTTCTCCTCCAGGCTGGAGCAGATCCGCTGGTCCTGGCTCAGCAGATTCTCTGAAAACGGGAGGTCACAGGGGTCCCAGATTGTGTGTGAAATAAACTCATGAGAGTATAAAACATTCACAGAATAACAATGAATTATTGCTGAGGGTTTGGGATACCTTGGAGCTTCTGGATTTTCTGAACCCGGGCTTCAGCTGCTCGCTTCTCCTCCTCAGACTCGCTTGTGTATTCCTCTTCCTCCTCTGGACAGCTGAGCGGGGAAATCTGAAGTTAGCTGGTTCGGATTTAAACATTCGGTTCTCTCCAGGTGTTGCACAAACATGCATTAAACAGGGGCGTAAACACACCTCTCCACTGCCTCTCTAATGAGCCTCATCCAGGTGTTTCTCTCCTCTTTGGACGACGTGTGCACCTCGTACATTTCGGGCCCCGCAGCTGACGCGCTGATCAAAAACATCCCCCTCTCTTCATTTGCGACTTCTCGCACGATTAACTTCTGCAGAGCGATGACCGGAGGCTTCTGATCCTGAAACACATTAAAGAAGAGAGGGAAAAAACATAATATGAAGAGGAATAATAACAGCCTTAGATTAAATGGAACAGGTAATGTAGTGTAACATCATAACAAAGTTGTTAGAAACGTGAGTGTACCACAGCAGCAAATGTAAACTTCTGGTCTTTTTCTTGCAGGAAGATGAGAGCATCTGTGAGAAGCAGCGCCAGAACGTCTAAAGAAAAGAAGTAAACACATCTTGATTGCGTGTTCATACCGTAAAAATGAAAATATAAGCATGTGTGAGTGTTACCTTTGAGTCGACCTGTGGCCGTCTTCCACAGCAGCAGGCCCTGGTGTTTCAGCGTCTGTCCCGGCCTCATCATGTCCTGTTTGCGGTACGTGTGCCCGTTCTTCAGCTTGGCGGCGCTGCGGTTCTCCATGCGGTTCCACACTTCTTGTAACCTCTGATGTCGCTCATACTCGCTGACGCTCAGGTCCACGGCTGCTATCACCTCCCGAATCTGAGCGAGCGCTTTGGAAATATCGGCGTGCTCCTCTGTGTCCTCTGAAACAATCATAGAAGAGGATTGATTTACCCTTTAACAGCTGAAATATTGAGTTTGATCATGTGACCAGCAGAGGGCGGTAGATGACCAACCTTGAGTGTACTGAAGGATCCTCTCCAGCAGCACTGGGTACTTGGTGATCCTTTGGGTTACCAGCAGGATGCATTCTGGGATCTCTCTCCGTTTGACCAAAGAGTTATTACCTTGTTGCTTGAAAGAGAATAAAAAGTGTTTGAGAGGATTATAAAAAAACTACTGAAACAGACCTTTTGTAAAAATTAGGCCCTATATAAGAGACTTTAACAACGGAAAAACTTGATTTTACCCTCAAACAACAGGAGTTGCTGATCCATCCCTGCCTTCATAAGCTGGTTTGACTGTTTCTTTAAAAGACACTGAGATTTTTAACTCAATGAACAAACAGGTTGCAGCAAAGGTAAACCACCAATCTTGTATTTAAAGTTAAATCTCTATGTTACACATTCTGAACACAAATACAACTACAAATTAAACAGTAGATTCATAATTAGGTAGACTAACAACTTCTGTGGTGGAATTAAACAACAGTTTTTGTAGTTGGAGTTTGAAAGCATCATCTTCTAACAACAATAACACAATTTAACAAACCAGTTACGGTTCAAGTAGACCAGCAACTCTCATATTTGTAGTTAAATCTCTGGGTTTAAGGTTCGAGTTACAAATGGACTAACTAACTAAGGTGAAAGAAGTTTGGCAACTCCCGCAATTTAACCCTCCTGTTGTCCTCCCGGTGTTAAATCAACCCAATCTGTTTTGACGGTTCCTCCCTTCCTCCATCCTCTTTATTTCCTCCCTTCCTTCCTCTCTTTCCTCCCTCATTTCCTTCTTTATTTCCTCCCTTCCTCCCTCATTTCATTTTTTTCTTTCCTCCCTTCCTTCACTTCTTTCATACCTTCCTCTTCATTCCCTCCATCCTTTTCCCTTCTCCCTCCTTCCCTCCCATCTTCCCCTCTGACCTTCCTTGACCAGAGGACAACAGGAGGGTTTTTAAGTCAAGTCTCAGTTTTTGTGATTGGAGTCCAAACCCAAAAAATCGATTGTGTATGATCACATGTGGTTGCAAGTGGAGGAATCGTATCAAGCTTTGACTCGGATTAGAGATGTTTTTCTATTGGTTAAAACAGCAATCGCCTCGGCAACAGTATTGACTGATGATTTATGTACAGACAAATCAGTGTTGCAAGCTTGGTGCATGTTGTTCTGGGACAGAGGTGATTCAAAACTGGGTCAAACAAGCGTTTTATAGGTATCTGTTGGGACAAGGAGTTTGAACACTGAATGGGCCTTATTTCACTGAGACACAGAGTAACCTGAGAAAGCTGAAGAGAAGGCAGATTAGCAACTTCCCTATTAAAGCAAAACTTTTATATCAACGTTAGGCAGGATTAAGCACAAGTAGTGACACTAAGAACTAGCCGGTAAGGGAAAAGGTAGACCAGCAACTCCCATATCTGAAGTAAAATCTTTGTTTTGTTAGAGTTTGATGACACTGAAGTGAGATATGCACCTGTTTCTGGTTGAAAAAGGTTTATAAACTCCCACAAAGGCCTGTTTGTGAAGCAGTACAGTGACAGACAGACATGATGACAATTTAAGCCTTTCAGTTTCACAAATCAAGATTTTGCCGTTACAGACTGTTTTATAGCTCCTGGCTGCACTCAAAAGACTATCTTTAAATGTTTTGTACCCTGAGAGCCCAAAATAACCACAAAAGTTTAAGACTAGCAGAATCCCTTTAGAGGTACCTTTATGAAGATCTGAAACCTCTTGTTGTGTTGCTGAAGCTCCTTGAAAAAGCTGACCGCTTCGTTATGACGGCTGCAGAAATCTCCGTACACCTGCTTCACTTTCTCACTGTTCTCATCTGAAAACTGCACAAACAGACACACAGTCAGGGGTGTGCATCCTCACGGCTCCCCCCTGTGTTACATTTATGACGGAACCAGCCGACCTGTTGAAGCAGGACATCTCCTATTCTCTGAATGAGGTAGTTCCTGTGTCCCTGAGGCTGGGCTGAGCTGTGTCGCCGCTCCTTCATGGCGGCAAAGAGGGCGTGATGAAAAACAAGCAGCTGGTCCAGACAGGGGAAGACCCGCTCCACCGCCTCTGTATCCAGCTGCACCTCCTCCTTCATACCTCGCCTGAAAACTTCGGCCATGATGTGGAGAGTCTGCAGGTGGTGGAGCTCGGTCTGCATCAGCTCTGTGTCAGGATTTTAATATTTGATATTAAGAGCTCCACGTGTTTCTCAGTCACAGAAATTTACGACAATGATAGTCATTTAAAACATGAAATACAGTCGCTGGCAGAAAACGACACATTCCACTGCTTTTCTTTCACAACTCTGACATCTGCTCACCGTAGATTACATCCTGCCTCTTGACGGCCCGTTTGTCATGCTTCTTGCAGAATTTGTGCTCCACCGTCAGGCTCCACGACTCTGCCTCGTAATCCACAGCATCAGCTGACATGTCGCTATGGATATACGCGTCCACACAGTCTGTAGATGATAAAAGAACAAAGTCCCCGAGACGAGTGATGAGTAATTTTCACCCATGTAAATCTTTCTTAACTCTGGAAGTGATTGCATGGAGAGGAATTAGTCTCAGCTCTGACTCAGGACCACCTCGGTTAGAGAAAGTGATTTATTTGCAAACAATAAGTTATATTTGACAGTTTGGTGCTGTTATGACAGCTCCCTGCCCTTCCATGTGTGTAGGTGGATCCCCTGAGGTTGGGAGAGCACACTTTCCCATGAAAAGCTGAGGCAGGGGGAGCAGCAGCAAAGACCCTTATCAGTCACTGCATGAAAAAAGGGTGGAGGTGGGTAGCAAAGCGCTGTTTTAATAGCTCCCACCTTTTCCAGGAAGAGACATAACTGTGCCAAATCTTATGTTAAAGACGCACTCTGATGAAAATCATGTTTTTCTTGTTGCCTACATGTTTATATGTCATTTTTCTGATGCTACAGGACACATCATGAGAAAAATAAGTGCAAAATCTCATCGCTGAGTATTTCTGCATTCAAATTGCTGGGAATCTCTGGCTGACCCTTACGGAAGGCTCAGATTCAGTGAGATTTTCTACGTAGCAAATCCAAGCTCCGCCCCCCGAGACCCGCTATGCAGGCCAGACTCAGAAAAGTAGAAAGGACAATCGCGGAACAAGCGTGTGCGTTAGCGCTCTCGCCGCCCACGACTCAGAGGCAAATTGCTAATGAGCCTCTGGAGCTCTGCAGAAAAAAAGACCTTGAAAATGACACAGTAACGTGAAAAAAACTAAACGAAAAACTTAATAATTGCAATTTACAGACCAGTGAGAACACTTTAAGAAGTAAAAAAAATTGACCTTAGTGGGACTTCAAAGATCGCTTATATCAAAGTTTTTCTGTGAAATTCTTCCTTTTGTTTCTTCTACAGGTCACTGAGTCTGTTTTTATTCACTCCTCAAGTCTTTTAAAAATAGTAATCTCACTTTCTCCTCTCCTACCTTTTCCATTTCCTGTTTTATAGACGGACTGTGATGCATAGTCAGCAGCTCTCTGGCATTTGTCCCTTTTTATTCCTCACTGAATGACTTTCTAAACCTTAAAGGGAACCTTGTAAACTCAGTGACCTTTTCTCCAGGTTATAAATTCAATTTAAAAACAGAACATAATCTCTCTCTCTCTAGACTTTCTTTTACTGTTAAACTTTCAAAGCTGATAAGATCAAGTTTTATTCGTTTGATACCTTCTCCTATGGATGAGTCAGTAGACGTGGAGGACGCCGGGGTGGGCAGGAGCTCCTCTGATCGACTTATCGCCTTTGAGATTTCAGGCTCCATCTCTGGGCTCTCGCTCAGCCGACTGTGCACAGAGAAAAGCAAGAACAGACCCAATTTAACCCAAACGCTCCTGTGTTTTTATGCGCACGTTAAAAAGTTAAAGGACTTCCTGACCTGTCGCTGTTTGGGAAACTCCCTGAAAGAGGACTTGGCTGGGTTGCAGCGTCTTTTCTCTCCTTTGGGGTCATGACAGGTAGAGAGGGGGAGGCGGGGACCACAGGCTGAGGAGGACTGTCTCTCACTGTGAAATCTGTAGAAGAAGAAAGCACAGGGAAGCATAAAATCTTTGAAATGGTTAGGAGGGACTTCCTTGCATCTCTTTCAGCGTTCAGACCCTCATTAACCCGAATCCAGGTTACAAATAAATCAGTTACAAGAGCTGGACAACAGGACTGAAACTCACTCTGTGGGAGAGATGCTGTCCTGTTCTTCACCATGGCAACCGCATACTTATCCTGAAGTTTCTAAGTAATACAAATGAGAGAGGATGGTTTCAGCGTATAAACAATAGACAAAAGGACAGGCTCAGAGCGGAGATGAGCTCTTCAAACTCAAAACACACCTTCAAACACGGGGGGAGAGAGTCCTTACAGCCTTTATGGACGATCGCAGTGCAACCTGGGAAAGAAGTAGATTTTAATGTTCAGAGGTTTGGGTTTAAGGGGAAATAAACAAACAAACATTGAATTACACATCAGACTTACTGGAGCAGTGGAGCAGGTCTTTTCCAGAAGCTGGTTTGTCGCACACCACACACACGGTGGGGCCCAAACAGGCTCCTGTGTTAAAGCGGTGTCCGTTTGGTTGTTTATCCTTGGCCTCTCTGTCCTTCCCCTTCCCCTTAGAAAACCACACCAGAGACATGGGTGTAAACAACGAGGACATGCAGACGGAGACAAAAACAGCTGAGAGGTGTGGGCACAGAAGGCCTTAATTCATATTCCCATGAACCAGGGTCGGGGTCGTCTATTTGCAGTGTAAAACGCATCAATCTGTAAGCAGATATATGAGCGCAGGGAGGGATCCCCGCCTTCGTCCAAACTGTAAGAAAGTCCACAGACGAGGAAATGGAGCGTAGCATAAACAACAGATGCAGGAGAGCTTCCAGGGCCAGTGCTGACTCAACTAGGGGGGGATTAATCATTAAAAGGAAAGAGGCTGGACACCATGTTTGGTCTGTCGCTCTGGCCTTGAGCTTTCCCCAGAAATGTTTCCTGGTCGGGTCTCCCAGAGGACAGGAACTCAGACTCCTGAGTCCACTAACCTTTAGAAAACATTCCTTAAAAACTTTATTCAGGAACTTTAGGGGGTGATTTCACTTTGTGTTTTCAGAGGTGTGGACCCTCTGCGCTCACCTTGGTTTTGTTGCGAGTGCTGGACATCCTGCTCTTGAGGAAACTGAACGTGCGAATCACTTTGTACTTCTCAGACTCCACCTTCGTCGGGATTGTGTACTTATCCAGCTCCTCCTCCTCGATCCTGCAGGATAATTTAAGTCACGTTACAGGCGTTTGTCTCGTTTTTATTTGTGCTTTTATGACTCAGACTGTAAAGCTGTCGGGCTGCAGAGGTGTGTTAGTTTTTCACGTCGCGTCATCCTGACTTTATCAAGCGTCTACGAGGAAACAGATATGACACACAGGTGCAGGAAAAGAGTCCACGTCATTTCTCTAGAGCACAAGTTTCATCATCTGAGAACAACTGTTAGGGGAAGCATTGTTAGACAAAAAAGTGCACACAGTTTCTGCCGCTCTGCGCTGTGAAAAAATGATATTAGTAAACTGTTTAAAAGGTGGAAACATGCACGACAACCACAGACTTGTGCGTTATGTTAAAACAAGCATAACTATTGTTCTGCAACTCGAAGAAAGGAGGCGAGGAAGAGGAAAGAGAGGAAGGTGGAAGGAGAAGAGATGATAAGAGGGAGAAAAAACAAAAGAAAAGCAGGAAAGTGTAAGGAAATGAAGTCAAGGGAGAGAGGAGAAGGAGAAGAGGATGAAGAAGGATTCAGGAGAGAGGAGATGAAATGAAAAGAGAGGGGACATGAGGAAGAAAAGAGATAAGAAAGGAGGTTAGGAAAGGAGACAAAAGGACCAGAGAACTAAAAAGGAGGAAAAGCAACAAAAGAGAGAGGAAACAAGGTGATGATACAAAACAAAGTGGCTCCAGTAGACAAGACCTTTATCATTTTTACACATGTGCAAACAGAGCGGGTTAGGGTTAGTTCATTCAAGGGGGACGGTTTTGGACGGCTCTGACCCTCCACATACTCTTTGAGAAACTCTGACAGGGTGAGATGCTGGAGCGACTCCTCCAGCTCCATGCCGCCTTCATCTTCATCGGCTGACTGGGCTCGCTTACGAAACCTAATGTCCCTGTGGAGATCGACGCACGCACACATGGACACACAAAACGGAGGGCAAAGAGACAGTTTTTGATTAAATACTAAAGCCTCTCACTGGGTTGTTGCTTCAACCAAAGCGTTTATCTCTTACTATGCACGCTGCCTCCACTAGGGGGAGCTACTGGGTTATGGCTTGTAGATTAAAGCAGTTCTGCATGAATTAAAGGAAGAAATTGATTGGCTTCTGTGTCAGCTGATGAGACTGAGCAGGAGAATAAGGTAAAAATGTTGATTTTAAAGAAAAAGTTGAAGCAAACTTGCATTTAAAGCAAACTGTTTTTCTCTTATCCTGCTCCCAAATCTGCAAATTTGCATGTGTGCATCATAAAAAGAAAAACTGCAAATCACTGCCTTTTTATTTGCTGGAAAAAAAGGATCAAAAACATCATAAAACTAGATCTGCTCCTAAACTAAAGGGACTAAACTAAAGAAAAGCAGCACACTTGATAGTTCCCACTGTGGCCAAGCAAACTCTGTTACTAATAAATGTTGCTCCAAACGCTGGAAAGATTGTAAACTTAGTCATAAAAAGGTTTTAGTCATTTAAATTAACCATAAAAAGCCCAAAAGTGAGTTAAAGAAAGGAAAACTATGCATTAAAAGACAAGAAAAAACACACAATAAACTGAATAAATAAAGCATAAATACCTTTTATCATGCGACTGCTCTGATACCATGGTTGTCTTTTGCTCTGTGAACAAAAATAAAGAAGAGTAGATGTCAAAAGAAAATACTAAAGACCCTGTCGATGTGTTTAAAACTGGCAGGAAAAACATGAAAGATGATCCACATTTGGAAAAAATCAGCCAGAAGCACGGACAGCATTCATGAAAAACTGGCAAGCTCAGTAAAAGTAATGGTTTAAGTGGACAATTAATGTTTCTCTTTGTTTGATAATTTATGGAAAAGCTTTTCAAGCAGCCAGGAGCAAATTCAACATGATCTGAGTGCAACGACAATAGTTATGCAGATTCAATAATTTTTGTGCTTAAAGGAGACAAACAATACATTCAAAAGCTTCAGCACAGACGAATATTAACTCAAACTCCAAGTGTGCTTCATTTAAATGGATTTCTTCTTTTTCTCAGGTTTACAACAAAGCTGCGTCCTGATTAGAAAGCCGCACAAACACATGCATGCAAACATGATTCCTCCGCCGGATCCCATCCCCCGTGCAAACACAGATAAGCGCTGACATTGAGAGCAGTGTGCGGGGGGCCATGCTGGGTCTGAGCGCTGCGTGCCGGCTGCAGGTGTCCAGTACTTACTACCAGGGTGGAGCAATGACAGAGATTTAGACAGAGAGAGCGCCTGAAGGAGAGATCGGCTGTGGCTGACACTGTGGAGGACAGCATCTACAGGGTGGAGTGGACAGAGGGCGGCTCACACATGGACTTTAAGGAGGGCGAGGTAAGCGGTTTTCACTCTCATACTAGTATTAATGCTGATTTCAAACTGCCTTTTAGCGTTGATTTAAAAAAAACAGACAGAAAAGCAGCTTTTTATTTCTAACATTGACGATTACCATAAACAGAAAGTGAAAAGTAACTTCCCTGTTAGTGACACACGAAACAAATAGTGTTAGTTTTTCTGTGAGACAAAACTATATAAAAGAGTAAAAAAGTTTTTTCCAGTGATACTGACCAGGGCTTACATCTGCAGTGTGGTTTTCCCGGGCTAAACGAGCAGGACGCAAACTAATTTTTGGGGAAGAGTAGGAATACGACCGCAGTCGAATCCCCAAGTCACCAAGATCCTGAGAAAAAAAAAAGAAGTGCTTCAGAACAGTACAAGGCTCCAACAACATTTCTCATGCTATAAGGAGAAGTGAAAGTATCTGGCAAGAGTGTGAGAACCAGATCCTGCACTCTTACTTTTGAGGGGGTTTCACATGCTGAGGAGGCTGACTGAGTACGAGTGCAAGTGAGGTCAGGGGAGGGACGGTAGGTTTCTTTTTTGTCTTCACTTTTTCCAACATCTGACGACGATGCCAGCGAAAGCAGAGACTTTGGCTCAAGGCTGTCCTCCTCACTGTCAAGCTCTAGAGCCACAAGGCTGCATGAGGAGCGAGAAAAGAAGCGTTAAAAACATGGACAATGATCAGAAAACTTTTCACTCTATCACCAAAGGAAACAGGAACGAAGAGATATTTTCAGAGAGTATTTAAAACGTTGAGCTTGTATTGTTTCAGATTACTGTAAAGGTGGATAAATATGAGCAGCACCTGAGTCCAAGACCAGTTTCACTCCTTCAGGGGACAAAGTGAATCATATTGTGCTGTATCAAGTCCGATGGCATGATATGGTATCATATTTTATGGTATTCTTCCAAATAGCACATTGGTTCATATCATATATCATCTGGTGTCTTAATGCTATGGTACAGTTTGATGGTAAGGTGAGGTATATTTGTAGTATAGTACAGCATAGTATCAGGATGAAGCCCACTGTGGGAGTGTATATTCTTGGCTGACTGTGTCATATTGTGTATTAGATTGTATGATGTTGCACTGCTTTGCATCATATGGTTTCTTATCGTATCACTCGGCATCATATTAAAAGTATGGTATGACACATTATGTTGTGCCTGTCTGTTTGGGTTGTATCATGACCATATCATATTGTATCATAATGTATTGTGACGTACGGTAACATATTGTAACGTATCATATCGTAGCATGCGTTAACATAGCATATAGCGCTCAAAACATATCCCATCGCATCGTAACATATTGTATCACAACGTATCGTATCGTGTCATAATGTATCATAATGTATCATAATGTATCATAATTTATCGTAACATATTGTATTGTAACATATTTTATCATAACGTATCGTATCATAAAGTATTGTATCGCAACATATCGTATCGCAACATATCGTGTCGTATCACAATGTATCGTATCGCAACGTATTCACGAGTTGATGATGATAGTTATACTCGATTTGCTGATGATTGACTTTGACAATGCCTCATTCCTAAAAACACCGATACAAAAGGGACTTCTCAAATTCGACGTCTATCATAAAAAGTGAGATTTACTAGCTTTGTGCTAGCTTTGTTACATCAAAGGGCACAGGGATTTCTTTTCTTTTCATGTTATTTTGGCTCATTTTAACATTAACTAAGAATTTAATTCACAAAAATCAAACAATAATACAAGCTACATTTTTGAGTAAACCTAAACCCAGTGGTTCTTTATTCTAGAGAGTGAAATTGCTGTTTTCCTTACTAGAGTCTTGTGGTTATGTAATGTCTATTTCTGTTCAAAGTATCTAAGATTTTGCCCATTCAGAAAAAAAACTTAGGGCTGTCTGTTGAAAGATAAACTTTTTTAGGCAAATACTGGCAGTACAAATTTACCACAGAGAGAGATAGAAAGAGTTGCAGTCTTGAATGTCAATTTCATGGATGAAGCCAAAGCACCTCAAACTGTCTGTGACTGTTAATAATTTGGGCCAAACTATGTAAAACTAGAGCCCAGGTTTTAAAATACTGCCATTTATTTCCATTACCTAATGTCACAGGTGTCCATGTGAAGACTTTCTCTCCGACTGGTTGGCTCAAAGAAGATGGGGCGGTTAAGCCTCGCAAGGGCCCGGTCTGCAGGGGAGGGCTGGAGGGAGTAAGGTCCAGATGGAGGGTGGAAATCCTCTGAAAGTGGTGAAGGAGTTTCAGCCGCAGGAAGCAGATCTTCTGAGCTCACAGTGTCCCATAAACTAAAATCGGTCGCTGTGCTGTCGCTCGTCACTCCACTGACACTGAACTTGACGTCTTCATCTCCTGCCTGTTAGAAAAAACAGTGGAAAGAAAAGCAGTATATGAAGAAAAAGTGTCAAAAATAGAAATTAAAATGAAGATTCTTAGATTAAGGATGAAATTATTGAGTTACCTGTGTCTGTTGTGTGATGGTCTGATTACTGCTGCTGATCATGGAGAGCAGAAGGTCTGAAACATGCTGACTGAAGGGGCTCTGGGCTCCACTTGACTGCTCTGAATGTCCATTTACTGTGATAAAAACCAAGAGCGAACTTAGGTTAGCTTCAGGATAGTTTATAATACCTCAAACAGATTCCTCTTTTGTTTCCTATCCTCTTTCCAAGGCAAGATTAACTTCTACTTCTGCAGATGTCCTTTAGGAATTTGTTTTCATCCTCCCGAGTGATTAACTGTCACAGAACATGGAGAGGAGCCACTTTTTCATAACGATTACTCATGAACGCATCAGACAGATGTGTAAAAAGACAGAAAAACGCTCCAAGAGTAGCATGACGTAACCTGATAAAATAACAAAACTGCAGAGTCTGATGACCAAAAAACCCAACCTGCCAACTTTTGACAGTCAGACGTGTCATTCATTGTAAATATTTTATGTGGAAAATATAAAAAAAGTTACTTCTCTTCAGAAGTCTGCTGAAACCTACACCCTTGCAGCGCTTCCAGGCTTTAAAAATAGGAAACAAGAATCATCAATCATGCTGCTGATTGGTTTTGTTTGCTTTAGGATGGCATAAAAGGCACAACATGAAATTCAGTCTGTTTTAGGGATGTGGAAAAACTCCTCACAGGAGCTTTAATCAGTTTTGAATGAATGTGGCCACAAAGTGAATTAAATGTATTAAATCTTTGTTATTTCTGCTGCTGGATCACATGGGTTTATTCTGGAATAAAACAGTTTGGTCTTAATATCCATGGGAGCAATTCTGTAGCATTTACTATTAGCAGTTACGTTCAAGTGCATAGAAAAATCATGTGTTGCGACCTCTCATAGTCATCTTACTATCTTGCCAATCAACAGGGCTGGGCGATATGTCCTCAAATCAATATCACGATATATTGAGCAGTTCACCTCAATAACGATAAATGGACGATAACTACTCCACAGGCTGCTCACTCCCTCCCACATTAACTTTGTCTACTTCAGCCGCTACAACTTTTGAACCGTCCTCTGTCTCCTCACCTGTCTTTCCCTCTCTGTTACGGACTGGATGGGGTGGAGTCACGTCTCTGACGTAGGACAGTGTCTTAAAGGGACATCAGACCATAGTCTACCTACACACATCCAAAACCAACTTTTATTTATTAATCTATTTGAAACCATAAATAATGACATAGGCAAAACGACATCGGTTATTGTCGTAAATTTCGGTATCTGTAAATTTTCGGTTGATCGCCCAGCCCTAGTTTAATATTGCCTCATCACAGAGGCTAGTTAATAAGAATCTATCGCCATGGAAACAATAGTAGAACCAGAGGGATCAATATTTTTAAACTAATAAAAACACTTTAAAATTAATATCATACATCCACTTCAGGATCTGTAAATTTTCGGTTTATCGCCCAGCCCTACTAATGAACCTCCTTAAAGCAGAAAAGCTCTGCACCATGGGCTCCAGTGTTGAGACGAGGTTCTGTTGGTTCTGCTGGAATCGACGCCTTCTGCATCCTCAAGATAACAACATACCGACTTTATATACACCCATAGGCGCTAACATGGGCACCAGTTCACTCTATTCCACAATATGGGCACTGGGTGTAAAAAATCCGGACTGCATGGAGTGGAAAATAACAATGACTCCCGCTCGGAGGTGACTTTCTCGCTTTTCTCATTTTATTTCACCAGTTAAAAAAACTGAACTTCTACATTAAGTTAACTGAAGTATAAAAATACAAGTGCAACAAAAAAGATTAGATAAGTGTCTGAGTGAAGTAAATGCTTCCAGGATGTATACAGTTTTAGCGCCACTGCTGGCACATTTACAAGAGTGTGGAAAATCACCTCTCCTGATGAAAAGCCATTTTCATAGCTCTCTGTGTGTTTTCCACCCAGACTTTGATGTCTGGCCCAGCCATGCCTGCACTAATGTAAGGGAAATCCTGGGCATCACAGAGGCATTTCCTCTCGGCTGCTCTCACACACTGAAGACACGAGCACGGCGCTCCAACATTCAAGGCAGATCTCAAATATCTTATTCAGTTTTCTTGTTTTGACGGATGCAGCACGCTCCGATATTCAGCGGCAAACCCACCACACCACACAGGCTGGAATGATGCAGACACCCACAGGGTTAACAGTTAACATGAGTTTACAGGCTCCATTCAGCAGTCTCTCCAGGATTTACAACAAACTCTTCATTATTCTGCAACAACACACAGGAAATTAGCATCCACCGTAACCACAGCAACACCTGAAGCACTTAAGCATCCTCCTTTAAAAGTCTTTTACAAGCCAGGAGGTGTTTGTGCTCGCTGAGCTCGTACAAGCTTAATTGAAACGCGTGTGGTTAAAGAGAATTCGAGGTTAATACATGTGGCTCACCTAAAATGTCAGCTTTTGTAAACCTTTGACATTTGAGCTTGTTAACATTCCCCCTCCTCTCAATTCAAGCACAGAGCTCCACTGTCCTGTTCAGAGGGGGGGTCAGGGGCGGGGAGGGGATGGCAGAGCTCAGGGTGACAGGCCGGCAGAGGAGGGGAGGCATCCACCAGCTCAAGCTGGGATTTTTTGAGTGGGACCAGTCTGACCCCATTCCTGTCTTTGTCCCAGTGACAGGGCAGATTCCTGGACGTTCAGACTGAGTCACCGTGGATAGAGACACTCTGGGACTGTCGAACAAGCCCCGCCAACATTAGCAACAGCTTTGAGAGTGAGCGAGGCCTCCTCACAAACTTTGAACTTGTTTCATTTATCAAACTTAAAACGTGAGATAGCCAAACACTCAGTGTAACATGAAAATCAGTTTTTAAAGTATTTTAAAACAACTTGAGCTGATGGCTGGGATGGGAATTATTTTTGCTGTAGGGGTGACACCTCTGGTGGAAAAAAACTGAGGGTTTGCACACATGCTGATACCTGACAGGGTCAAGGGCACTGTCCTCTCTCGAAATCTGATTGGTCCAAAATTTTAAGGGCTACTAGCATATTTAGAAGCAACACCTATGCTAAAGTTAACTGTTTAGGCTCTTTCCCCGCCATTTATTTTCACTGTAACGATACGATACAATACGATAGACTTAATTGTCTCTTAATTGACTCTAAAAACAAGCAAAGAAGCTCCCCCAAGTATGTGCAGAAGGTGCAGAAAAACAATATAAACTGTGCCGCCATATTCCCGTCTGAGCAGGATGAGAGGCAACATGCTTTAAATTCCCTAAACCAGAACAAAACAAACACAACAAAACCAGAGGAAAAGTAAACTAAGAGTTTTTAAGAACGGTCAGCACTGTCATAATGGCACAGCTGCATTATCAACCAATCACCATGCAGACCTCCTGCAGTGAAGGCGAGTCTGCACACCATAAACTCACAAAAACAGGCTTTTAAATAGTGCAGTCAAAGCTTGAAAGTTCACTTTAAGCCGTCAAAAATATAACTTTTCATAAAATGTACTAATGTGCTTTAAACTGACTTTGGACAAGCATCTCTTTAAATCCCTAGAAATATAAGCTAAGAAGGTCTTCTGCTGTCACCTCTGCCTATGTCCGTGCTGCCCCCGTCAAAAAGAGTCTGGCCTTAACCCTGACACCAGGTAACATTCAGTCTGTACTCAACAACATGCAGTATTTGAGACAGACTTCAAGAGGATAACACATCTATCAAACCAAACAGCTCAGACAGTAATGATCCTCATCTGTGTTTGAGGAAAAACAAGAGTATTGATTTCCTATGATGTGATCCAAAACAGGACTCCAGCAACATGACAAAAATCCATGTTCCCACGCGCTGCTGCTCAGTATAACCACAGTTTTTTAATATCATACTCATCTTTTATTATCTAACCTATTCATTAGTGCCTGAACTGAATAAAAAAAGGATGCCCACAAAGTTGAGGCATGGAACTCTCTCCCTCCTCCTCCTCTCAGGAAGAGCTGTTGGCCAACATCAGATCCTCCGGGTATGACTCCACTATCAAGCAATGAAAGCCAGATGCCTCGGCAGTATTGCCAAAGTATTAAAATAAAAGCAGCGCTGCAACTTTTCTTGAGTAAGTAATCCTTCAAGGTTTACAAACAGACTGATGATGACAAATTGTAAGGAATAGAAAACCAACCTGAGGAAGAGATCGGGTGCTCCTCTTCATCGTCCTCATCATCCAGAGACAGGACGAGCTGTTCTTCAAAAACCTTAAAAGAAAAACATGAAGTTTGATGACTTTAAATGCGCACAGATTCACACATGGTTGCATTCAAGGACTGACGAGGACACGTGCTCGCCCGGAGATCTGAATGTATACTCACGTTGTCCACCAGTGCAGGTGCTGCTGCTGCTGCTGCTGTTTGGAGCTCCTTGTTAATGCCTGTGCAAAATAGAAATATTTAAGCAGAAGTTGATGCATTACACACTCAAGCTCGCCTCCTCCTCCTCCTGAGGACATTCAGGTCCTCTGGATGTGACTCGACTATCCAGGAAAGGAAAAAAAAAAACTGGCAAGGAGATGTTGTGCTCGTGCGAAGCAGCGTGTCCAGAGGAAGAGCACATACTCCCGACTGTGCCGTTGTTATTTGGAGAGGATTAATGGGCGGCTGCAGAAGTCGGGACAGGGTTAAGGTCAATACTGAGGTCCACTTCCTGCTTCCCTTTATGAGTCAATACAGCGCTCTGCCATCACTATGGTTACAGTAGCTACAGGTTAGGTGAGAGCCACCGAATGTTTGTGCATAATGAGGAGAGAAAATAAAGGAAGCAGTGGGAAGCCTCTGAATGCCAGCCTGAGCGCGTCACCCCAGGAGGGGGAAAAAAACCCTCAAACCCTGACATTTTTCTGATGAGGAACAAACACGCACGAGTAAAAGGAGAGTGTGCCTTTTATGGATGTTGGAAGTGCTTTCTTAGTCTCCTTCAGTTGTAAAATGATGGATGTCTGAGGTTAGAAATGTTTGTTCAAGTGGATCAGCGAGGTTCGTTTTCCAGATATTTTCAATACACACGCATACCGCCGCGTACAGACAGACAGACAGAAAGGCGGCGAGGAGGCCAGGGCTGTTTGTGCGTGCGGAGACCACTGCGATGACAAAAGTAAGCCAGCGACTAATGACTGCTTTTGTTAAGATCCCCAGATTACTTTTGTGGCTGAGTAATCTGGGGATTTTAAAGCTCTAGACAATAGTAAAAAAAATATATATATATATAAACGCTGGCCTCAAATAGCCTCAAACACAAAATATATTCAATTAGCTTCAAATAAAACAAGATCATAGACATTAAAAAGATGCTTTTTAATTCAATTACAGACTCATTAGTTGCCAGGATTGTAAATAAGTTACTTCAGCATCTGATTCATCCACATCTTTGAGTTTAAATGTCAATGCTCGCGTTCGTGTGTGTGTGTGTGTGTGTGTGTGTGTGTGTGTGTGTGTGTGTGTGTGTGTGTACATGCTTGTGTCAGTCCGCCCCTCCGGATGACGTTTTGTTTTGTTTTTCGCAGCTTCTCTTACGCAGCGAGCGAATCCATGTGAGAGCCAACGTGTGGCGCTCAGAAACACAGGAAATGCACGTGTCTGCTCGGAGCTCTCTCACCTCTCACATGTGAGGATCTTGGGTAAACAGACGATCGATTTCAACTGTTTATCATCATTTTATTAGGGTTTTATGCACTGATTCATGCACTTGTGTTTCTCATATAAAAATAAGTAGTTCCTAATAAGCTGAAGATCTTGGCATTGCAAAGAGACTTCAGTACAGTGCTGTTTTCAGTTAGTTTGAGGAGCAGGGGCAAAAAACAAAAACAATAAGGGCACCCCCTGTGTGTCAGTCAGTATCACCACACATAAAGTTTTGATTATTTTAAGTCTGTCTCGGGAAACATTTTATGACCACAGGTAGTTGTACGGACCCTCTTCTAGCTTGTCAAGCAATAATGATGAGCTAGTAAGAAATTGTATTTTGGCAACACTGGACAGAAGGTCGCCTGAGGGTTTTTTAAAGGACTGGAAGAGTCTTTTGAACTCCTGATACCCACAGTGTAAGGTTCATTACAACATATTAAGGCACAAATACTAAAAGAAGAGTGAGGGGGGACCTCCTTTCCCCAGGGAAATATCAAATATGCACTGAAACAATTTAAAAAGCGATACAAACACACAGTTGTCACCAATTTATGATCTTGTTCATTTGCTGTATTTATTATTTATTTTTGTGAATAAAATGTTAATATGTTGGAGAGACTCACTGTAAATTTAGTAGCAGAGAAGGGGTTGGTTTAAATAAGCATAATACTTCATCCTACTCCTTTTCGGATATGTTGGGTTCACATTATTATTATTAGTATTTATTTAATTTTGCTTTGATTATTGTTATTGTTGTTTTGAATATTCTTGTTGGTTTTTGTTTGTTTTTTTTCAGTTTACTTTCTCGTGTTGCACGCTCATGTTCGAAAAAATATATAAAATGAATAAAATAAAAATAAAATAACTGACAAATTAAGCCAAAATTTGTTACTGTGTAAAAGAAAAACACAAAATATTAATGCATAAAAAAATAAAAAATGAATGCAAATTCTTGCAAGATGGAAAAGCAGTCTATTAGGATATTATCAGCCATGTTTCACTTGCTTTAATCAAACCAAACCTGACTCACAACTCTTATACATAATGAGGTAAAACTTCTCAGAAAAGTAAATAATCACATTTAATTAATTGGAAGGAAATTCTGAGCTCTAACTTTCATTCAGAGGGCACATTTCTACATCTAAGCCACAGTAATGTTTTACATATTTTATATTTTATATATTGGAAAGGCACCAGGAGAGCACATTTGTTTTTATATGTACTGGCACAGCATTCAGAGCGCACTTTTCCAACTCTTTATATACTGAAAGGGCATCCAGAGGGCATGTTTTCATGTATAATCCACTGTAAGGACATCCAGGGATCATTTTAAATCAATGTATATCAAATAAAAAGATGTTGATACAAAACTATCTGCAATAGACCCATATCCTGTCTAAACTGGCTGAAAATACACAAGTAACCTCACTCACACATCTATTAAGCTCCTATAAGTCACAAATTTTAAGAGCTTACCTCCATCATTCAGAAGAAACTCCTCTTTGCTGTCGTCCCTCAGACACTTGACCTGAAACAAAAACACCTCTTTCCTTCACTTCTACAGTCACTCTGTATTTTATGGTAAAAATAACATGATAAAGGTCTTAACTTAACTATTTAATTATACGGTCAAATTTGACGACCACCAATGAATAATGGTCCTTCCCTGTAACACACTCTCCCTGATTTACTGGCAGCAAAAGCCATAATGTTGTTTTTTCAACCGTTACTTGCTCAACTCTTATCAAACTGTCTGATTGTGAGTAAAGGGTGTGAGAGTCAAGGGCGAACTGTTTACACAAGCCTGTACAAAACCTGTGCGAGCTGTCTGATCTGGACAGCAGGCACAGTTTATCAAAAGGATATTTATCAGCCATGTCTGCCCTAAGTTTGGTAGTACATATATATATATATAATAAGTGGGTTAAAAAAGTCTGCTCTCACAGGTTCGAGGATGCCGGGGTCTCTGAGTCTCTCTCTGAGGATCATGATGGCGTCCTGTGGGCAGCTGCCGGGTATCTGTCGGACAGTCAGGGTCAGGGAGTTCGTCCTGGGGCAGAACCTTAGCATGCAGGAGCTGTCGGACCAGACACGCCTCACACCTGGATCAGGGTCTGGAGGACTGACGAGGAAAAAGAGGAAGCCAAAACGCTTAAATCAGAGGCAGGTTTTCAGAAACTGCTTCACGATCAGGCCTTATCAGAAACCCTCATTAGTTTTTTATTTACTCTTTTTGTTACATCATTCGTTGGCTTTGTATCCACTGACTTCATATTGCGCAAGACCAACTCTGTTATCAAACTCGCCTTAAGGTGTTTTATTAACACTTGTGTACATTTCACCTTTTATCAAGGAAGTGGTTGGGTTCCCTGAACTGATAATTAAGTTTAAATAGTGACTAACATGATCCTGGATCGTGTATTATTTCTAACAGCTTGTTAATATTGTTAAAAACTGATAGCTTGACCTTCACACAGGATTAAAAGCAGACTTCAGAGAGCTTTAAATTCCTCCTAGAGACATTTTCAAGGTTTCCCTGAGTCTGTAAAAGCTGCGTCAGTGTGAGAAAGTAGATGAAAAACATATTGAACAAATTTATCATAGCCTTACGCTGCCAGCAGCCTGAACATGCCATGCTGTCCGTTCCTTTGAGCCAACTGAAGAGGCGTGTCTCCATCCTGATTGGGTAAGGTCAATAACCTCTGACCTCTCGGCTGGTGGCTCAAGAACTGGGCGAGATGGACCAAACCCAAACGCACCGCAAGGTGAAGGAGGGTTTCTTGGGGTTGGAGATCAGAAACTAGAAAAATTTAAAAAAAAAGGAAAATAAAGAAAGGGCAAGGACACACAGCATACTGCAACTTAACCTGAAATGAACGGATGGATCACATGAATTTTCACCTGATTTATTAGCTGTTATGAAAGGCTTTAAAACATATTAAAATGAGTAAATGTGAAGCAAATAACAGTCTTTGAGCTAATTTTAGGTTATAAAATAACATCTACTGCCATGTTACAAATTCATTCTACAACCTGACTGTTAAGTTGATGAACTGACGACCAAGTACATTTTCAGCCAACCACTTTAACTTTTTATTATCCATTTAAAAAACTTAATCCACAATCAATTAACTGTATGATCTCTCATTCTTTTCTGCTCTTTGTATATGATAGGGCAGGGCCTGACACATGCTCTACAAGTGGTCATATAGTGGCCACAATACAGCTTACCAGTGAATGCACTAATCACTGGACAAAAGTTTGTGTTTTATATGAACTTTCTCCACTTGCTGCTTTAAAAGTCACGTGTAGCTAGCGTTTTTTCTCAGATTTTGATTTGGATCACAAACGTTACATCATTAGCAAGTGAATCGTATCATATCATATTGCATTGTATCATAGCTCACTGTAGTACATCGTACCATAGCATAGCATAGTGTAGCATATAGTATCGTATCATAGCTAAGCATATCGTATCGTAGCAGATAGTATTGCATCGTAGCTTAGCATATTGTATCGTATTGCAGCATAGCACAGCACAGCGTATCATATCGTATTGTAATGTATCATAGTATAGCATAATGTTGCATAGCATAGGATATCGTATCGTACTGTATCATAGCTTAGCATATCGTATCATAGCATAGCATATCTTATCGTAGCATATCCTATAGTTTTGTATCATAGCTTAGCATATACTGTAATATGGAAGCATACAGTATCACATTGTAGCATAGCATATCGCATCGTATCGTAGCATAGCATAATGTCGCATAGCATAGAATATCTTAGTATATTGTATCATAGCTCAGCATATTGTATCGTAGCATAGCATATCGTAGCATCTCGTATTGTAGCATATCATATCGTATCATAGCTTAGCATGTTGTATGGTAGCATATGGTATCATATGGTAGCTTAGTATGTAGTATCACATGGTAGCTTAGCATATTGTATCGTTTGGTAGCATAGCATAGCATAGCATATCATATTGTATTGTATCTTAACATATACTGAGCACAGCACAGCTTAGCATAACATATCGTATCGTATTGTATCACGACTTAGCATATCATATCCTAGTATAGTATCACGTAGCGTATCGTACCATATTGTATCACATCATAACTTAGTATATTGTATCATATGTAGTGTAGCATAGCGTAGCATACTGTATCATAACTTTGCATATTGTATCGTAGCATATTGCATTGCATTGAAGCTTAGCATATTGTATTATATCGTAGCATAGCATATTGTACCGTATTGTACCATAGCATAGCATATTGTATCGTAGCATATCCTATCGCATGGTAGTTTAGCATATTGTATCGTATCGTACTGCATAAAATTGTATTGCATCATTCTGTCTCGTATTATCTCATCCTGAATTGTATCATATGTTGTTGTCTCATATTGGTGCTATCTCATCTCGTGTTTGTATTGTTTCATTCTTCTCATTGTAATGCACTAAAATCATAATCTATCATAGATTTAACCTTAAGAAAACCTTTCCATTGAAATTGAAGCCCATCCTACACACTCTCTCTCCGCTTTGTGCAGATGTACAGAACAGCTGCTGCCTAGGATGGAATGTAAGACAACAGCAAAAAGTGGAGATGAAAGAATAAAAGGTTCTGGGTTATACGAGGTCTGCAGTACATCAAAAGTTCTGCTACCAGGAGGAAGCCAACATCTGCTTTAAAACAGTCAGTTGCCCGTTTGTGCACGAGAGCATGAGGGAGTATAAACAATGGATATAACGGCGCTAAAGACTCCCCATTCACTGCGACTCTGACTCATGTTTTCACACTAAATACAAGAGTTAGTATGACGCAGCAGAATTTTGCTGATCACAGCTCAGCAGAAATCCTCCATATCCCCTCTTGTTGTTTTGTAAGCACAGTGTGAATGACTGTTTTTGGAGAGGACCAGAGATACTTCATCTTCTGGACTTTCCCTGAGCTGAAAAACCGCCATGGCTTTCCAACCCAGAAACAATGCGCAGGAAAATTCGACACTTATTTCCCCTTCTCTTTCCAGCTCGTTCCCGGAGCTTGGCATGAACCGAAATGCCCCCTCACCTCCACAATGGTGCTGCTAATTGTGACCCAGTTTCAACCAACTGAGAGGAGTGAATGCTGAGCGTGCTCTTCTAGCAAAGTTCAACTAACAAGAATGTCATTGTCATATAGACCAGCAAATGATGCAGTGAGGGAATGGAGGCCGACAGCTACTTTGCATTTGCACCTCACCCATGTTTTGCATGGATATTCACTTTTTCATTCCACTACCAAGACTGAATGCAGATTTCAGCAAAGACCACAGTCAGACGACAATCTTTCTTGTAACTTGGAATAAAAAAATAGCCTGAAATTTATCAAACTGTGGACATTTCTTCTTGTGGGTTATAAAACTACTCCAGGGGCTGACTAAAATCAAACATAGCTTTCTTTAAAGTGTTAAACAACAACAAAAAGTTTTATTTAGGCTAAATTAATTAGCAACCAACTCACAACAGCTGATTTTAGAATTTAGCCTCTTATTATTCGGTTACTGACTATAAATACTGAGGTACCATCAAAGGTGTAGGGCAGTATGACAAAGGCTGGTGGCGCCAACATAAGCACATTCAGTAAATCAGTTTTATATCGTTCACCCGCAGACTCTGAGGTTTGACTGTTTTATGAATGTTTTTTTTCTCTCCAGAGTCAATCCGAATTGCCAATTCTGATCAAAAACTAGGAAACTAGTCCCTTTGGGTCAATCTTTTTTCCATCTTTTGTTTTCGCTATTTGATTCATGAACTAAGCAGAGACACAGCGATAAATTTTCAGAATAGGATTTGAGCTTTCAACCTGGTATGAGTGAAGTGAAAAGCAGCAGCAATAAACCATCCGTACTGGCTCGGAATGTTTTTCCGTATTTATCCTTTAAATTTCTTCAAGTTTTACTAGAAACCAGCACAAATTCAATATTAAGTAATAGCTTGGCATGCAGTAGGTTAGTAACAATGAGATACGTCAATGCTTAAAATAATGAGACATCAGAAAAAACAAAATCAGAGTCCAGCTGCCAGAAACAACCGTGGGAGGGCCGAGCGGAGGAGGACTGCTGGAGTTGATTTAATAGACACAGAGGTCTGCAAGACAACCCTCATCTGACTGCAGAGGAATAATGGCAGTAATTGCTCCGTCTTTGGAGAACACAGGCTTCTGCCTGGCTGGCTGGCTGGCTGGCTGGACCTGCACGTCATGTGATGAAAGAGTTTGGCTGAACAGTCTGATCTCATGTTGGGTTTGAAACCCGCTTAACGCCAAAACAGCACAGCAATCACATTAACTTGAGAGGCAAATATTATTTTTCCTGTAAGGGTCACTTCACACAAATTGAGAAATTCTGATGATACCTAATGAAGACTGAAAAAACACAGTATTTCCTTCTGTGAGTATGCTGCTCAGTACTGTGTTTAGTGTGGGCCACAGCTCCACTGTCATTTACATTCACTCCAAACCTATTTTCACACATTGCTGGACACTTTTCCTCTCTTTCAGCCTATCTAAAGATTTGATTTTGCTTACATAATATCACCAACATTTAACAGATTTCTTATATATCTGCTTGAAAAGGGGCCCCTGAAGATGACCCAGGTAGAAGCAGATCATCTCTTTTTGAAATAAACCCTCTCAGATTTGGACTTCCTGAGAGTTCATCACACTTTTGTTTGACTTGTTTGCTAAGCTTAAAGAATTTACCTTCTCTAAGCTGATCACCCGTGTTTTTCCACTGCTGAAAATAATCCATGTTGCTCATAGCCTGCGTGATCTTCACATCCAGCTGCCTGACACCAGCGTCATCCCCCGCACTTTGCGTTAAAAGCATGTCCTCCTTCCCACTGTGGTCCGACCCTCCATCAGGAAACTTCTCATCAGCTGCCTGAGGAGATGTGGAAAATCTCTTTAGGACTTCCAGGTAGCTTCGGGGTCCAAGCTGGTCCCTGTTTACGCTCAAGTACTCTGCGGCTTCCTGGGCAACGTCTCGGAGGTACTTGAGGGATGTTTCACCCTCACATCGCTTTACTAGGTCATCTGCGTAGAAGTAAGGAGTGACAGAGACGTCTTCCACACGATCATGGCCTAAAACAGACAGAAGAAGTGATTAGACAATGGAGGAAAGAAAGAAAGAAAGAAAGGAGGAGGGGAGGAAGGAAAGAAGAAGGAAAGGAAGGAGGAGGGAAGGAAGGAAGAAAGGAAGGGAAGAAGGAAAAGAAATAAGAAAGAAAGAAAGAAAGAAAGAAAGAAAGAAAGAAAGAAAGAAAGAAAGAAAGGAGGGAAGGAAGGAAAGAAGGAAGGAAGAAAGGAAAGAAGAAGGAAAGGAAGGAGGAGGGAAGGAAAGAAGGAAGAAAGCAAGGGAAGAAGGAAAAGAAATAAGAAAGAAAGAAAGAAAGAAAGAAGATGGGAATGGAGGAGGGAGGGATGGATGGAAGGAAGGAAGTAAGGAAGGACAGAAAGAAAGAAGAAAAAAGAAGGAGGGAGGGATGAAGGAAGGAAGGAAGGACAGTAGGAAAGAAGAAAAAACAAAGGAGGGAGGGAGGGAAGGAAGGAAGAAAGAAAGACACAGAGGAGGGTTTTAAAGGTTGTTAGAGACTGACTGAAGGTCATACCTGGAGCTGTGAAATAAAGGGTCACACCATTGTCTCCTCTTTTTGCTGTGGTCACATGTGTAAATTCAGAGCCTTGAACAGCAACATAAAACTCAGCCTCTTCAGGAGCCTTGGCTTGTAACAGGACATGGGCCTCCAGCTGTCCCTGAGGTGAAAAAATGTACAAAATCTGATCAGAAAAAAGAGCCGCAAAGATTAAAAAGTGTATACATTCTCTAACGGTGTCAATAATCTGCAGGTATGTGAGGAATTTTCTTGTTTTGGATTCAGAATTTTAAGGTCCAGGAAACGTTCAGCTTCATGTGGTTTACATCATTAAAGCAGGCTAATGTTTGACAAGGCTGTGAGTTGTGATGTTCAGTTTAATGTAACAGAGGCTGGTTAATAAGAATATATTACCATGGAAACAGCAGTCTAACCACAGGGGCCATCTTTTTACACTGATAAAAACACTTTAAAATTAATATTATATTACTCTTGTTCATGCTTTTCAGAAGTAACCAGGTCCTGCTCACCCTGTCAAGACTCTAATTTGCATAACCACCTGCTCACTGCAGTAGGGCTGGGCGATAAACCGAAAATTTACTGATACCAAAATTTACGACAATAACCAACGTCATTAACTGACGTCGAATATGCCCATATCGGTATATTCGGTGTCAAAAAAATTAATTCATAAAAGTTGTTTTTGGATGTGTGTAGGTAGGCTATGGTCTCATGTCCCTTTAAGACGCTGTCCTACGTCAGAGACGCAACTCTACCCCAGCCAGTCTGTAACAAAGAGGGAAAGACAGGTGAGGAGATGGAGGACAGTTCAAAAGTTGTAGCGGTTGTAGCGGTGGCTGAAGTAGATGGAGTTAATGTGGGGGGTGGGGGGGTGGGGTAAGCACCTTGTGGAGTAGGTATCGTCCATTTATCGTTACTGAGGTGAACTGCTCAATGTATCGTGATATTGATTTGAGGCCATATCGCCCAGCCCTACTGTGCATCATCTAGGGCTGCAGCTATCGATTATTTTAGTAATCGAGTACTCTATCGATTAATCTGTCGATTAATCGAGTGATCGGATAAGAAATGTTTTGCTCTCACTGTAATACTTTGCATTGAATCACGTTTGCCTCATTAAAAACCATCAGTAACACACAAAACTGAAATAGGCCAGGTCTTTCAAATGAATATTTTTACTGCATAAATCAGGAACCAAAAGTTTTACATTTTACCATGTAGTTCACATGAAACTACTGAAGGCAAGGTCTGCAGATGGTCTTTTAATTGCTATGGTAATGATCTTTGCAGTTTTCACTAAACCAGTCACAACTATTTCCAGGCTTTGGATCTAATTTTACTTGTTTAATTAATAGGCTGAAATAATATAATTCTTGGATACTAACATAATTTGACAAGCAAATGTACATTTATTCAATATATAAAAGTGTTACATTTTTATTTACATGTTGTTGTGTGTTGGTCATTTTGCAGCCCTCTGCTGCTCATCACACGCCTAGCAGGTGGTGTATAGCATTATCACCATGGATACACGGATGTTTGTGTGATTTTTTTCATCCACTGCCGCCCGGTTTGTGTCGTGTAGATGTTGATTATGAAAACACTTCGCAATAATTTGGAAACGTGAAGGGGGAGCTGCTGCTGCCCGGTGTTTACGGTAAATAGACGCAAACACCGACCAAGTGGACGCTTCGGTCTCCGAAAACGCCGAGACAAATTTACAAACAGCCACTATTTCAAACAACTGGGCTCATAATCGTGATGTAAACACTTACTTTCTCGCTAGAAAAAATATTATTATTGAATGAATTTATATAATTTGTCCGGTATGCAGTCGTTCTATGTAGCTTGTGGTAGGACTATTTAAATTTTCCCGGCGCTGCGTCCGGCCGGCACGAAATGCATTCTGGGGTATTTAGTATGTATGTGTGTAAACGCTCGGGCAGCCGCGGCATACTCAAATCATCTTTGAGTAGTCAGTAGGCAGTAGCTACTGCTTGAGTAGGTAAGTAGATAGCAGGCAGTATGCCATTTCGGACACAGCTTCTGTCTGTCCTCGTTTCCCTCCATGATTGAACCAAACGCGCGGCAGCGGAAGGAGCGGAAAGAGCACGCTTCTGCGCAACAGAAATAACCGTCCGTGTCAAACACCGTGCGCTGCACATGGTTCCGGATTTAAACGATTCCTCGAGGCATATAATTTGCCTCGAGGAATTTTATTAATCGAGTTACTCGAGTTACTCGAGTAATCGTTTCAGCCCTAGCATCATCCCTTTCCATTATTGATCCATTTCTCTTCGCCTCTAGTTTGCCTCTAACTCTTCATAAGTTTCAAAAGCATGTTATCATGTGCTGACTCACTGAAATGAAATAACCCTGAGTCAAAGTGAAAATAGAAGCAGCATTGAACAAAAAGTCTTAGTTTGCGTCAGTTTTAGGAGAAGCGAAACTGAGCAGCACAGAAAAAAAGAAAGAAAGAAAAAACAGAAAGTGGTCATTTTCTCTCAATGGGAGTGAGCTGCACCCTGCCGTGCATCGTCTTCAAGATCCATCCTCATAACGAGATTCATTATTTCTGTTAGGTTGACCCCGTTCTTTCTCTGACCTTATCTAAACTCTGTTCACTCATGCATCGCCCCAAAGACACCCCTCTCTCAGGAGGGTCTACGATCTACTGATGAGGGAGAAAAACCTGAACAAAGACAAGACTCTACCACCTTAACTCACATCCTGATGTTTTACAGCGACTTCAAGGACAGACAAGAGTATAAGTCTTTTTTGAGATAAACAAATGAGCCTCTAAATTTAAGCAGTATCGTATTCCTGTTGAGCTCAAAGTGTATCTTACGAGTTCAAGAGGGAACGCATACTTGTGCAATATCCTTATCTTCTATGTTCTTGTCCTCAGCTTGGGGAGTTTTTATCTGCTGATTTATGGGACAGTCCTCAATTTATCCTCATTGTCGATACTTAAGCCTAAAGCATCCATCATGTTTAGGTGTACTTTTAAGGGCCTTAATCTGCTCAACTTTAGAGTTTGAGACTGTAACCACTTCCTCTCTCGCCAACTCAGCCCTTTTTGTGGTTTCTCAATAACCTACTGGGAAATCTTTACAGGGACATTTCAGTGTGAGAACAGCTAAATATAGATAAGTGAGGCGAAAACAGCTGATAATTTCAATTTAGATTGGGTTAGGATGAACAAAATCTGCATCTCTGTCGTAAAAAAGATAAGATTAAATATGGTCTGTTGTCGTTCTACTGACTGCTGAGCTGCACATAAATATAGTCTCAACATGCTGATGTCAGAAAGTCGCATGTTCAGCGTGTGTTTGGGTCTATAAAGAGAACTAAGTTTCATGACTTTAGACCTTTAGACATATGATCAAGAGCAGCTGGTCATTGGCTAACTGATCAATACTTTGCTTTCTCACAGTCTGCTATAATAACCAAAACTTCAAACTAACATCAGTCTCTCTGTCTCTTACACTCTTGGTGTTTTAAGAATTCCCATTACAGCCCAGTCCGGGGACTGCAAACAGAAGTCTGACTCACTCTGCAGTTTCTCAGCTTGTTGAATGAGCCAGAAAGTTAATGTTGCAGCACTAAGAGCAGTGGTTCTCCTTGGAGTCCCCTAGACTCAGATCCAAGAGCTCACTTAGACTGGAGACTTCACACGGGTGCCTCGAAAACAAGTAAAATATCTTTGAAAAATCAATTAATCCATCTAATAAACCTTTTTTTATTGTCTTCTTATTGTTCCTATAATGATGATTACATCGTGCAGCTCTCGAAACACACAAAAAAAAAAAACATTGTGGAAAAGTCCAACTTCTTAATAAGTCCAAGAAAAGAGCATCTACAGGTGCACAATCTAAGGTGCTTGAAGTCCAGTGTGAAGCTTTCACAGTCTGTGATGGTTTGGGGTGCCATACCATCTGCTGATGTTGGTCGACTGGGTTTTATCAAGATCAGAGTCACTGCAGCAGATTTTGGTGCACTTCACGCTTCTATCTGCCGAGGAGCTTTATACAGAGACAGATTTCCTTTTCCAGCAGGATTTCACACCTGCCCACAGCGCCAAAACTACCAGAAACTGGTTTGCTGACTATGGTGTTACAGTGCTTAACTGGCTAACGAACTCATCTGAACTGAACCCCATCATCTAGAAAAAGACGTACAGCAGAGCCATAGACTGGTCGCCTCCATGCCACCTCACACTGATGCAGTAATTCATACAAAAAGAGCTTCAACCAACTGTTTGCATGAAGGTCTATATCTCTGTTTTATAAAGCCTTCTTTTTATTGGTGTTTATAAAAAAACTAATATTTTCAGATAGTGATTGTTTGATATATATATTTGTGAGCTGTGAGTGATAACCATCATGATTAAAACAACTTAAGTCTTGAAACTTTGCCCTATACTTTGGGTTTGTCTCCGTTTAGGTGTCCAGACTTTGGAAATATTACGAACACAGGTTCAGTTTAAACAGACAGAGTTTTCTTGATCATAACTGTATTTTCTGAACCTGGAGGAAGAAGAGGGATGAGACGTCAAACTGATGGGATCTTTGGCCTTTACTCCAGGGCTTTATCACGATACAACCAGATCCTGTGACAATGAAATATTCAACACCGGGTGGTTTTAGCTCATGCCTTCCATATGTTTAAAGCCATTTGAAGGTCAGGGATGATGTGTTAATTATGGAACACAAACACGAGGAAGTTCAACACCATGTAATAGAAGAAGCAACCTAAATAAATTAAACCAACTTGTCTGGGTTTGAGTTTAAGTAAAAAATTTTAAGGATGAACATGTGGCATGGTTTCATATAGTGTGTTGTTGTCCGTTCAGAAGGGAAAAACAACATCAGATCTGCTGCTCGTGGTCTCCAGGAAACCAGAAGTCATCAGCTTTAGAGCTCTTCGCAGTGATCTCCTGAGTGCAACACGTAGGTGACGTCAGGGGAGCATGATCGCTGCCACTGCAACAACAACAAAAACAGCTCCAATAACAGCCGTTTCCCTCAGAGAGAGAAGCTGACGTCAGCGGGGACGGCGTATGTTTTTGTTTTAAATATTCATAATTCAGTCAGTTAAAACACCAAAGAACAGCATTATGCTGTATTTAAAAAAGCTGTACTCAGAGGTAAGTTCAAAGCAGCTGAATGTGAATGTTTTTCATATTTCAAAGTCACACAGTTTTGACAGTGGCATAACTGGTATTTGATCTAAAGGATCTCAATGCACCAGGATCTCATTGAAGTCTGGAGAGTGGTAGCTAAAACTGTGCTGTAGGCCTTTTCTCATACTCAGCTGAGACAAATACCTCTGATTTAATCTGCTGTGCAAATGAGATACTAATAACTAGTCTGCATGTCAAGAAGGGCTGTCAGTAAAACTGGAGCCATGCCATAAACATTTCATTTTCACAGAACATAGCTGCCAAGAACAGACTTATTGTTATGTAATAAGAAGGGAAAAAAGAGAAGAAAAACTTGGATTTTGTAATACAAGGGCGAAAAATCGAACCCGAGCACTTGAAAATAAAGGTACCTGCCCGTTTGTTGGAGATTTCCCGTCTTTACTGGTCTACAAGCTTATCAGAAGTCAATAAATGACAGGTAGGGTGAGTTTTTGTTGGTTTGACATATAAGTGAAAAGTACAGCAAACACAGTCCACACTGCACTTAAAGAGAGAAAAAAAAACATACAACATAAAACACCAGTACCCATAAATCAAAGAGCACTGTGATAACTGTCGCTATCTCAGCCTCCTAGCATAAAGCAAACATGCTTTGGTGAGGAAAAAGCTAATCTATAACCATTGCTGAACATGACATTTTGTATGCTGAGCTAATAGCTGCAATAAAGGAGCAAGAATCAACAAACAGCATGTCTGAGAGACCCCACTCAAGGAGAAAGCTGTCTTTTAGGAACATGTTAGCATAAGGCTAACATGCTCAAAATATTAGATGTTGATTTTTGGATGTAGTATCTGCTGTAGTTATTGGCACTATTGACTTAAAATGACGCCAAAAAGTAGAGCCCAATACAGCATAAGTAAGAAGGTGCCTTTTAGGGCTGGGCGATATGGCCTCAATTCATTATCACGATATATTGAGCAGTTCACCTATGGATGATAACTACTCCACAAGCTGCTCACCCCCTCCCACATTAACTTCATCTACTTCAGCTACTACAACTTTTGAACCGTCCTCCATCCCCTCACATGTCTTTTCCTCTTTGTTACGGACTGGATGTGGTGGAGTCACGTCTCTGACATAGGACAGCGTCTTAAAGGGACATGATACCATAGCCTACCTACACACATCCAAAACCTTTGGTTATTGTAAATCTCTGTATCGGTACATTTTCGGTTTATCACCCAGCCCTTTTGCCTTTTGACTAATTTCATCCTCTGAGGAACATGAATTCCTGAAGACTTATAACTTATCTTTTATTTTACAGATATCTTTCATTTATACAGTATTTGTGAGTGTGGGTGTCAAATGAAGTTGAAGAAGATAACCGAAGTTCTGAAGGTACATCCTCTGGAGATCATAACTCTAGAAACACATTTCTTTTTTAAGCTTAGCAACATGAGAGCAGCAAGTCTCCTTGCAAAGGGGCTAAAATCTCCTCACCCTGCCTGAACAAAACCACTTTGACTTCAAATCCAGCATTGGAGCCCAATAAAACCTCTTTCAACACAGAGTCCCACACTTTCTTCCTGCAAGTCAATGCAGCCATTTATCCATCGATCTGGCCTGGCAGTATCTGCCACTGGCGTGCACAATGTTGCATGTGTGGAGGTGCACCGTAACACTTTGCTAAAGGTGTTACAATAACAGCCTTTATATCTCAGCGGTGCGCCTTGGCTCGCCCACACAAAGCCCAGCATTGAAATCTGGATCCCATTCAGTGGTGAGAGTTGCTCCTGTTGAGCTGTGACCTGAGAGGGTGGAGACGCCACTTCCTCTTAATGGAGAGGTGTGTGTGAGCCCGTAATGATTCACATGCCTGGGTTTCAAACCGGTCCTCAATCAGCCTCTATAAAGCGAGTGAAGGCTGGGTTTTTCGGAGCAGGCGTCCCCTCCCCCATTTGAAAGTGGTGACACAGCAAAACAAGCAGACACTCTGCTTACCAGAAATCTGGCATCGTTTCAGCGTCCGGCCCACCCAGGCTTCAAAACTCACGAGAGAAGAAGGGCGAGAGAAAGGTGGCGGATATAGAGGACTCACGGGGGAGAGAGAAAGTAGCTGAAAGAATTAAAGTTCAAATATTTCAGGGGAAAAAAAGTGATAATTTAAAACACACCTGCACACCCTGCTCTTAGAAAGACTTCTAAAAATGTGCACTCCGCACAGAAAAAGGGCCAAGAAACAAATTTGCACGCTCTCCAAGTCTGGCCTTGTGCGTTCTTTGTGGGAACCTTGGTGCTTTTATTTGGTGAGAGCTGGCTGTGTATTGTGTGTAAGGACTGGCATCCCAAGGGACTGAAACCCTCCTGGCTTGGGTTTCACCTGCGACACAAGGCTTACGAGTCAATAACAGAGCAGAGAGAGAGTTAGGACTGAGAGAATGAAGACGGCTGGAGAGGAAGACTGTAGAGCAGCCGTTTTGATGGAAAGATGGAGAATTGGAGGCTAAATACAGGAAACCAACCACACCCAAGAGATAGAAATAGAAACAGACCCCCTCTGCAGGACCACCAACGTATCAGAGATATAGGAAGTGGAGCATAACATATGGGCACTTACATAAAGAGGCACCGCTCTTCTGTTCACCTCCATTTTTCTCCATTCACCAGCTGCCTGCAGAGGGAAAAGGCGCATTACAACAACATCAAGATCACAACAACCAAAACTTTTCAAACTTCAGTCTTTTGGTCCAAAGCTGCATGTTGTTGCTCAATTTAATCTGGAACTACCTTTAATTTTAGACATTAAAAATCTGGTGTTTCATGATTATAATACTCGATAGCTGGTTAACAGCGCTCAACCAATGCACGCTATTCAAGTAAAGGTATAAACAACACATGGCGGCATATGCACAAACTGGAGAACTTGACTCTTCCAACTCAAGTGCAATATTCTGTATTGTCTTACACTGCCAGTGACTACTTCAGCGTATGAAGGTACAGTATCTAGAATAAGAGTGTTGGACTCTTCAGAAGCAGTAGAAGAGAGGGAAACTGTGTCATCATTGCACACCTGATCCACTGTGACTTCACTCTGAGCTGTGAATAGTGCATGACTTCAAAGCTGCACAGTGGTGTCAGCTCTGCAGGATGCACTTGGTCAACACACTCATTTACATGAGCAGGTGCTCCGGAGACCAGCCGTAGCTGTTTTTGGTCTGTGGATCGGAGGAAGAGACTCTGTTGTCAAATTTCCTTTTTGCAAGTCACATGTTTCTCAGCAGGTCCAGAGGGGCTGTGAGCTGAGCTGCTGTAACATTAGCGCAGCTTTTTTTCCGAGTGCTCAGCTTACTGTTGGTAGTGATTCCCCCACTGCTCATTGTCCAAAAAGGTCTCCTTTGTCCAACATAAACACACCCAGTAATTAAACCCATTGAAAACACTGAATAAAGCAGTTTCACAGTTAACTCGGTGCCTCCCTTAAGCTCTTGGCAGGGCTTAGAGGGCCACGAGCTGAGCTGCCACTAACCTTAGATACTAAGAAAGTAGGTTCTATGGATGCCTCATACCCAGATGACAGCCTGCGTTCATGGAAACCTGATAAAAACGAGTCTTAAAGGTAAAAACTGAGTCATACAGGTAGATACAGATGCTCACCACTATTTCTTCCCTGCACATAAAAATCCAGTACAGTTAGATATTCTGCCAGCTGATATTTTGCCAGCCTTGCCTGGCATGCTCCCAAACACCCAATAGTGCTTTTTAAGCTGCAGCCATGGATGGCAATCATACCTTACACTGATGTTTACATGACTGAGAGCCAGGCAGTAGAGTTTGGTGAGGCACAGAACCAGTAAAAACGGAAAAATAACCATTATTGGTCCAGTAAAGCTAAAGTCTGGTGTCTTGTTTTCATTGTAAGGAACACTAATTCTCTCCTTTACCAAAATTCACCTGTTGCTTTTGCAGTGACAGTCGTTTATTTTTAGAAGTAGACATAGAACAATCAAAATTTTTGATTCTACGATAAATGATAAATGTAGTCTTTAATGTGTCTGCTGCCTGTTTCTAACACTCCTGAGGATTTCCTTACAGCTGACAGGTTGAGGCACGTTGTTGACTTGCGTCAGCTGTCATTGCATAAGTTTAATGCGTACCTTTATCAGTCGTGTATTAACAGCATAAATTCTCATTACTACCGACACAGGTAATAAACTTTCCCAGCTTTCATCTGTCATTAACCATATTATGCAAATAATATCATGTAACCCTGCTTTATATCAAGGCTATATAAGGTCAATGAATTCAAAACCACAATAGTACCAGGATGCTCCAAGCCTTTCTCTGAATTTGGGTCAAATCCAAGTTTACTTTGTTATATTTTATGAAAACGAAACTATCATGTGACCCTGAAGACCTGCATCAACAAGAGGATCCAATATCTTACAGTATACAGTATTAAGCTAACAGATGTCCTTCGGGTTTATGTAACAATAATATCACTATCACGTTTGCGTGCTGTAATATTGTTTCAACGGGACTTCTCATCTATAGGAGGATATGATGCCAAAGGCATGGGCGTCCATCCCTGTTTTCAATCCCACTATTGTAAAGGGGAACCAGAGAAAGTTTACTCACATAACCCAGTATAAACACGGTCCAAGGCTGGCAGGCTGCGCCCCTTTACGTCAACAACCCAGGATATTTTGGTATGCTGGAGTTTGTGCAAGGTTTAAAGATAAAATCTGAAAACCCCAAAAATCAGGATCCTTTTTTATCTGAGTTCTGGAGTTCAAAAATAACTTTTGGATCACCTCTGATTAGAAAATATTGACAAGGAACAGAATTAGACACGGCATTTGCAGGCAAAGAATAAATCTTAAAATCCTGACGTCTTGTTTTTTTAGTCCTAGCAGGATTTGTGTCAGTCATTGTCCTCGCCCAGCCTGACTTCAGCCTCTGACATGTTCAATGTGAACAAGAAACCTGAGCTGGCTGCCGGCCACACACTCCTGAGCAGAGCGTGAGAAAAGAGATTACGCATAACAAGAGAACGCATGCCGTCTAAAAGCATTTAAGAGGCTCGTTTTGGCATCTGTATCTGTGATGCCAACATTTTTAAGACTGCAGCGGGTTGATCCTGTTGTCCTGAACATTTTTCAAGTGATGCATGATTGAATAATCAAATTCCTCTCACATGACAAGATGCAATCAGAATGAAAAGGGGAAAGCTTCTGCTCACTGACACTAAAAAAGGCAACACATCATCATTTGGCAACTCCAAACTTCTTTAAAGAGATCCTTAACGTCAAACTGAAACTAATAAACATCACTTTCACTCAGTAGAGCCCTTGTAATGTGACTTTAAATGTATGCAATTTTTCTATGTCATAATTTAAGTGGTTCTATTTGAAGCTGAATGTTTAAAGAGCACAAAATCCATCATTTTTAAAGCTTTTTAAATAAGATGCAATGGAAAATAACCACCTTTTGAAACAACTGCATGCACTAGTTGATCAACTTTCTCACAAAGAAGTGAAAACAGTGCAAACACGCAAGAATACACACAATACCACACAAACTTTGAATGATCTGTGTTGCTTCAGGTGGGAAGTGAAAGTCTTGAACATTAGAGTCTTAAGATAGTCAGTAAATGCATCAGAGTAAACGAGAGTGTGCAGGTTTGCATTGGTAACGATACGTGTCGCGTTTTTACGTTCTACCTGTGAACGCACCACGACGTTAACGGCTATAATTCAATTGTTGAAGCCAAACGCTGAAATTTTAAGATATAGCATCACGATAACTTATAGTGTTATTTTTCAGCTTCAACTCAAGTTTTTTAGACTGAAGATGAATCAGGTTGCCATTACCTGCTGTCGTCTCCTAATGCTCTCCGCACTCGCTCCGAGAATTCGTGCACGACTTTATCTCCCACGACTTTTTGTTATTTTCGTCTTTTTTCCTCCTTTAGAGTACAAATAACAGGTTTAACATCCTTCTTACTCCGCATTACTGCATGTCCCAGCCTCGTGTGTGTCTTCGGTCGTGGGTTTGTTTGCAGGTGTCGTCAGTTGTGTCTCCTCTCTCCTCTGGTCCAGCCCCCTCTCAGCTCTCACACCGGGCTGAGAACTTCCACGATGATATAAAGACTTATTCTACCCCTGTACCGTAAACGCCCCATTCTTATCAACAATCCCTAGTTTGAGACAACTTTCAACTGTATTTTCATTGACTCTATCCACTTTAATCTACTGTCACTGCTGTTTGAGTTAGTGTTATGTCGTTCACGAACGATTCGTTTAAAAGAACCGAATCTTATAAGTGAACGTACTTAACCGAATCACTTCATTGAGCGATTTGTTCGTTTCTCACTTGAGTTGAGCTGGATGAGAAACAGCATTGCCAGGCCAGCAGCCAGCAAACGAAGGACGACATGCACCACCGCCTGAATCACTTGGTGAACGAATCACGCATTGAACTACACTCTCTGGGGTCATTTTTGTCGGACAGAACTACTTTTTTTTCCACTGCTAAATTGCCACCACAACAACTTGCATACAGCAGAACACGGCATGTAACAAGAAGTGCATTAAACCCGCAGCATCCTATCATTGCAGTGGTTTGCGAGGGAACGGTGGATGTTCAGTGTGAATTCTTCTAAATGTTCAGTGAACAAATCATTCACCGAGCTCAATTTACCGAGCAGACCTGATAAAAAGCATACCATAGGACAGTACACTTAAAAGATCATGACTTATAAACAAGTTCATTTTTACAAACCTGTTTGTCAAAGCAACACAGCCAAACACTCTAGTCTCCCGGTCCAGAAGTTATGAATTGAACTGAATCTCAAACCGTTCAGCTGTGTATCAGTTCAAGAGGTCGGAGTTGCAGGCTGCTCCTGCCAAGCACTTAATGATTCTGTGATTCTCTGAACGAATCTTTTGAACGAATCTTTTTAGTGAACTGATTCTAGTGAATCAGTTCATCGAAATGAACTGCCGTGCCCATCACGAGTTTGAGTTCATTTGTATTGCAGGCCCATTGTCATTTAAATTTCCTCCAATCAAAGACAAGTTAGGATGATGTCACTTTCATTAAATTATTGTGCTGCTTGTTGACAAAGCAGTAATTTGAATACTCCTCCTATGTGAATTTGATGTAGGGTATTTGAAGTTTATACAAACATTTCAGAAAACTTTTTTTCCAATAGGGGAGAGTGGGGTAAGTTGAGCAAAGGGTAAGTTGAGCCACCCCCTGTTGTTTGGAAATTGAAAAAGAAATTGAGCATGTGACCAAATATTTAGGAGATAGGCATCAATCCATGGAGTCTGTGAAGGTTAGAAGCACATGGGTAAAGGGGTTAGACATTTATTTCCAAAAAAACCTTTTTCACACTTGAAAGTGAATTTAGTCTGTCAAAAGTTTTATTAGAATTGTGTTCAGACCAAAAAAAGATCATTTTAAATTTGTTTTATACATCAATTGTGGTATCTTTGAGCTACAACATGAGGTCAAAAACCAAGCATGAAAGTCCACCATTTTAGCTCAGAGGACTTGTAAAGTCATAATCGTAGTTCTGGGGTAAGTTGAGCCAACTGAGAAAGTAAAGGATTCTGATGAGAGGATCAGAGTTTCAGTTCAGATTGTTGAAATGTGTTACTTTTTCTTTTCAAAAATACAGCTGTGAATGCTCTGAATCACTTAAATATGAAAAATGGCTCATCTTACCCCACTCTCCCCTTTAGTTATTTAGTTACAAGTAAGAGCACAAACTGATTCAGAATGAAAATAGGCATTTTGTTAACAGTCCTGTTTGAGATTTGAATCATCTTCGTCAAGTTGAGGAACACACAGTACACATTATGTAGGCTACAACCTTTCTGTGTGAACGCAAAGGTGAAAACAAAACAGGTTTCTGTATCAGCATAAGCAAATAACACCCACAACAAAGTTTACAGTGTTGAGCATACAAAGGAGTTCAAGTCAACTGATTTTACCTCATTTATCTACACTATTTTCTGTATTTCCCTTTTTGTTTAATTAAGAGAGAACAGAACAAAACAAAATAGAATATATGGTTGATCATGATTAAAGTCTGTAGAATGGGATAAAAAAAATCCACATCCTACATTACCCATAGTGCAACACTCATTATCAGACCATCACTTTAACATGTCACTGCTTATAGCCTCACACCTTCAGTTTAACTTAAGTTAAATATTGAGCATTAATTCACCTGAACGCTCACTTTTTCATACAATACATATTAATGAATTTGTAGCTGTAATATACACCCTTCAGGTTAAGCCCAGTGCAGCCCGCACTTGATGAGACTCTTGACCTCTGAAGGAGTTTAGAACTGAAAGACAGGGCCTCTATGTATCAGACTTGGTTGTCCTGCGCATGCCACAGTTTTCCATCAGTTTCAGCTCTTGTATCCCTACAGTGGAACAAAAGCACCAGAGTTAAACTTGATCCACAAGTGAAAGAGAGAGAGTGCTTTTTTCATATCTGTGCTCAATTTGCATGAAGCATTCCACTTCCTGAAGCTCCTCTCTTGCATAGATCTAAATCTCTCGGGTCTCAGCTGGATTGTCACCATAATCACACACAGAAGACACAGACTTTCACATGGACGTTTGACAGAAAGAGGAAACTTTCCCAGCCTTCCTTCTCTCAGATTTATCACACCCACTGATAATGAAGAACAGATAAAAAGTCTGAAATTGGGTCAGGGCTGAAAGTCTAAAACAATACTGGCTTACTTTTGAGAGAGCTGGAAGTTAGAGTTGATTTCATAGTTTTTCTTGTTTGACTTAATTGGGAAGATTAAAGGATTATAGACCATTTTGGAGAGGACTAAAGCCAGTCTACATATTATTTAGTCATGCTTGAAACTGTGGAGCCCTCTATTGGAAGAAACAGATGTGGGTGAAAGACTTTACAATGCTGCCATCATGTGGAGAGTTTGCAAAAGACATTTAACAATATTATCTTTTCTGGTAAAATTGAAAGTATAATTCCCACAAAACAGGCAAAATAAGCACTTAAATCTGGTGTGTTATCTGTACATTTTATCTTAAATGCATCTATCCATGGCCAAACATGGTGGTAAAGTGACCTTTGGTGTTATTAATTTAAAATTTGACATTCATTTTGGATATCATGGAAACAGAGCCATCTGCTCAAAAGAGGACCGGACCACCAAGATTGTTATCAGCATAAGGGTAAAAATGTGAATCGTACAGTCAAATACTATCAGCTCCTTGTGGTAGTATGTGGATGCTCTAAGTGCCCCTGGTAGGGTAAAATGTCAGAATGTTGTGATTTTGGAGATATAGGGTTTCTACCTGACCACAGTGAACAGTGTTGATAAAAGAAGAGGTGAAGCAAAATTATGGTAAACATGCTCCTTTCCCAACTGTTGTAAAACATGTTCCTGGCATTAAATTCCAAATGAGTGCATATGTTTCATACGTAGTTTACCCACAGTTGTGAGTGGGTCTAAACATTGCCTGATTTATGACACTAAATGAGCAAAACCATAAACATATCTAGTAAAGCATCACATAGTTGGATCAAGAATTTAGACGGTCTACATAAAAATCAAGATGTTATAAAGGACTAATGACTGGGATAAACATCCTCAGGGAATTGAGGTTTATTTTGCAAAGCCAAATCAAACCGGTAGAAAATCCCTAATTAACAGATTTTAGGTCCTGAGGGTCATAACAAAACAAGGCAGGAAAGTCAAAATACCTAAATGAGGATATTTTGTTTGGTGTAAAAGGATGAATTATACACATAAAGCACTGCAGCGCATAATAGAAACAACACCTCATCATCTCTAAATGCATAAGCCTGAAATACAAGACTGATTTCATGTTTATGCTTTTGGATGAGGAGATCTGGCATATTTTGAAGATATATTGCTGTAAAACCCCTGAATCGCATTAATAAAGTGGAGCTCTGAGTAAAGATAATAACCTCTGCTGGGATTAATTTATAATTCATCGTCATTAATGTGGTAAACCGATCTAAAAGAATATTAAACAAGCCCAAAACCATGCTGCCTTGTTGAACTTTTCTTATCCAAGCCACTTCTCCAGGATAAGGAGTCATTATTTGATTGTTATTAGAAACATCTGCCCAACAGTGACTCAGGCTGCACATCCTGAACCACACAGAGGCACCATCACACTGCCAGTTTTTATCCAATAAAGGCTCAGCACTGCGGTGGCCAAATGAACACACCAAACCGGCCTCAGCAGTTCATCTTTTTCAGTAAAACACTTCATGAAAACCCAGTAAGGGAGCATAAAGGGCGGTTCAGCCTTAACAATATATGCAGAAATGTGTCTCACTTTACACTGTTTTTCAAAAAAGTAGGACAAGCTGGATAATTTCTCCAATACACACCCGTCTTATAATGACAAGGGGAGTATTTTTATACGATTGAAGGTAAAAACAAAAGAACATTTGCCAGACCACCCCTAGCTGCCCATCTGACCATGAAAAAAGTTTTAAAATTAAACAGGTAAATGGTGCACTAAACCAGTCAAATCAAAATAAAATCTAGACACGCCCATGAGTTATTATGCTGAGCGTTTTTTTTTTTTCAACAAGATTACTAAATTTGTGCGTTTATCCTTGAAAGGTGTGATAATGATCATGTGGGGGATAATTGTAAAAGAGTCAACAATCTCTTACGATGCCATTATGAGAGCAAAACTGGACTATGGTTGTATAGGCTATCAAGCAGCAGCAGAAAGTCATCTGAAAAAGTTGGGTGTGCAGCAGACACAGGGACTGAGGATATGTAGTGGAGTATTGAAATCCTCTCCAGTAGCAGCCATACAGGTAGAAGTGGGGGAACAACCATTACGGATCAGAGGAATGAACTTCTGTTAGCATACTGGGTCAGTCTTCAAGGGCATAATACTTCACATCCTGATAAAGCCATCCTGGAGGACTGTTGAGAACATAATGAATCCAATATTATGAGTTTTGGGTGGATAGGAAACATAAAAGCAGTACAAGCAGGTTTAGGTCATATTCAATTCAGTCCGACAGTCCCATTTTCATATACTCCTCCCTGGTTATTCATATAACCATCAGTAAACTTTGAAATGCAGCAACAATTGAAGAAAAGGAATAGGCAGGTCTCTGTGGGAAGGGTTGCTAAAAGTCATCTGGAACAATATTTTTCAGACAAAACATTGATTTTCACTGATGGATCAAAAGATCCTGATACTGGAGGAACAGGCGCTGCAGTTTTCATTCCACACTACAAAATACATATCAAGAAAAGAACCACAGACCATCTATCAGTATATACAGTTGAGCTAGTAGCTATCATTTTAGGTTTGGCGTGGATAGAAGCAAACAATCATAACAATACACGAACAGCTTCAGACAGTTGGGCAGCTCTTACAAGCATCAAAACCATGAAGTCATATACAAGATAGGAAAACACCCTGATGGCAGATGTGACCAATGTGGGCAGGCTGAAACTGTCCAGCATGTGTTGTTGGATTGTGGAGGATATAAGGAGGAAAGAAGCACACTGCTAGCAGCAGCAGAGGAAATCAGGATGGCACTTAAAATGGGGAACCTGCTCGGAGCAGAGTCAGAGATTATGCTCAAGCATTTAATTGAAGCATTTAATTCCATTGAAGAAGAAGATGATGATATTGTGGAACTACAGAGAGGGACGCCAATAGCGGATGCACCCTGTTACAGAAACGCTCGACCATTTGCGCATGCGCGTGTCTATCAAAACATCGGATGAAGATTACCGCATGGGGATATTTCAGTGAAACAATGATTTATCAAGTGAGAAATATATTCATTTATAGCTGAAAAAGCATATTTTTTGCACGTTATTTTTAGATCTTTGAATTTATACCCAACAGTTACACAGTTATGTAATGTGAAGGTAACAATAGCTAGCATACTAGCTTCCAGCTAACAGATTGTGGGGTATTTAATATTCCTATCTGTCGAATTTTGACGCTGTTCGTGGCATTAACTCAGGTTAAATACCGGATTGTGGTTTATAAAGGTGTCCTCTGTGTTTCAGGCGTGCAGTGTCTTCGGTTTCCCCTCAGTGTGACAGCTTCTTGAGTGTTCAGTGGGTGGACAGTGGAACCATGTCAGCCTCAGACGGGACACCGGACTGTCCTCAGGACATGGAGGGGATCTGTGTGATGCCAGATTTAAGCACCATCAAAACCGAGCCGTCGGTGGGTGGAAGTCCAGAAGACACAAACACCCAAAATGTGGCCATGGGCATCAAATTCATCCTTCCAAACCGCTTTGACATGAACGTTTGCTCGAGATTTGTCAAGTCTTTGAATGAAGAGGACAGCAAGAACATCCAGGACCAGGTCAACTCGGACCTGGAGGTGGCCTCTGTCTTATTCAAAGGTAAACAGACCCCTTTTAAAAGAAAAAATAGCTTTACATTTAAAGGGATATTCCGGCGTAAAACTAATTTAGGGTCAAAGTCACAGTAGCACCGAGTTAGACACCTCCTGGAGAGATGAATGTTGATGACCGCTTACATCTCTAGTTATACAAACTTTAGTAACGACCGCACGATAGCAATACAGAGAGCCATGCGCTCAACTAAAAAGCCACTCTCTAGCAACAAATAATACTCAGAACAGCACCTAACTTCGTCAACAATATATATAGGGTCCCAGCCATAGTACTAGTCACCAAACATCTTATTAGCTTTGCCTGATTTCTTCAGCAAAGAGAGTAAACACAACTCACCTTCTCTCTTCCAGCAGCCGCTTATTTGTACGGAGACCTTAGGCGAGTCCATTACGGACTGCTGCGGGGTGACACAGCTCAAGGAAGAACATTTATGATCATTATTTTATCATTTCCTTGAAGTAATAATCACCATATTAATCATTTTGCACTGCAGACGCGGTAGTTCTTCTGCCCTTAGCGTCTCGGTCTGATTGCATTTCCGTGAAGAAATGATCATAAATGTTCTTCCTTGAGCTGCGTCCCCCCGCAGCAGTCCAAATAAGCGGCTGCTGGAAGAGAGTAGGTGAGTTGTGTCTAGTCTCTAAAAGTTGGTATAACTAGAGAAGCAAGCGGTCGGCAACATTCATCTCTCGAGGAGGTGTCTAACTCAGTGTTACGTTGTGTTTGTAAATTAATTTTACGCCAGAATGTCCCTTTAAGTAAGGACTGATGTTGTCTCACTTCTTCTGCAGCTGAATGCAATATCCAGACCTCCCCCTCCCCTGGTATTCAAGTTCGCCATGTTTACACCCCCTCCACCACCAAGCACTTCTCCCCCATCAAACAGTCCACCACACTCACCAACAAACACCGAGGCAACGAGGTTTCCTCCACACCTCTGCTGGTACATTGTAAGTATTAATGTAGTTTTTCATCACTGTTTCTGAATAAAAAATAAAGCAACAAAATGAAATAATACACACATGGGTGTTTTTCTTTCAGCTCTGTCCATCCATCAGCTTGCAGCCCAGGGGGAAATGGTGTTTCTTGCCAGCAGGATTGAACAAGGTAGGAACAGCATCATTGTTATGTTGATATTCATAGAGCTTTCTGTTTGTGCTGATCAGGGTTTGTAATGTTTTGTAGAGACGGTGATCAATCTCCAAGATGAAGAAGGCTTCACTCCTCTGATGTGGGCAGCTGCTCATGGACAGATCGCTGTTGTTGAGTTTCTGCTTCAGAATGTACGCGAACAAGAATTCAGATCTCATTTTCACATCAGAGCGTAATCTCTCTGTTCAGTAAGAAGTCATATCATCTCTTTTATTTCATTCTGTGCTGTAGGGTGCAGACCCTAACCTCCTGGCTAAAGGGAGAGAAAGTGCGCTGTCGTTGGCCTGCAGTAAGGGATACACAGATATTGTGAAGATGCTCATCGACTGTGGAGTTGATGTCAATGAATATGATTGGGTAAGGGTGCTTTGTTTTGATTACATCTTAAAAATCGGGAGCTGTTTGTCTGCTTGGTCCCTGATGATTTCTTATTTTATGTGTTTCAGAACGGAGGAGCTCCTCTGCTGTACGCTGTCCACGGGAATCACGTGCGCTGTGTTGAAATCTTGTTAGGTGAGAGTAATTTTTGATTGTTTTATCCTGTTTTTAGGAACTCTAATGAGGTATATAACACACAAACTCAAACAATAACAAAGCTTGGTGTGTTTGTCTTATAGAGAGCGGTGCTGATCCCACCATTGAGTCCGACTCTGGGTTCAATGCCATGGACATGGCTGTGGCTATGGGTCACAGGAATGGTAAGATTAAGTTTGACGGGGAACTATCACCAGATGTGTATGATCAGTCTGTGCTTACCAGGGCTCGACAGTGCAACCATTTCACTCACATTTGTGACGAAAAATAGATGTGTGCAAATTGTAAAATGTATTTAGGGGCACATATGCGCATAAAAAAATCAGCCGAGGCAAAATATGTTTTTTCATGTAAATACCGCGGTGAAGTTAGTTTTAGGTTGGATATTCCGGTGTTTTCTCACTCTCCATTACCAGGAATAGCAACAGTAGCACGGTTAAATCGACTCAGCACCCTCGCTGTCAAAGTCGGGTGTTGAATAAGGGACCATCAATAAATTACCGGTTGATGTTCTCCTGTTTTCCTTTAATGGCTTCCATGTCATGTGACCAATTGGCCTAAAATTGATTTTAAATAATAGTACCCAGGTTGACCAATAAGACACACCTCTATATTTCCCTAATGTGTGCTCTAAAATTTTTTTTGTTAAATTTAAAGACAAATTTTGAAAATTTTCTTCAATAGTTTCCATGTCATGTGACCAAAAGACCTAAAATTGATTTCAAATGATAGTACTTATGTCGACCAATAAGACAAACATTATTTGATCAATTTTCATTGTGCCCATAAAGTTCTTTGTGTGCTCCTTATTTTTTCAACTTAGGAGCACATGTGCTCTTTGTGAAAAAAGTTAGTGTCAAGCCCTGCTTACATACTACTATTTTTAAAGCTGGATATTTGAGCCCCTGCTATGCCCTATCTGTAATGTATAAGACATGGCTGTGCATTGATTGGGCGAAGTTATTCCACCTCTAAACGCCCCTCAGAGATAGTAACAGAAACGTAAGTCTTTAATTCGGCCCTGATTCTCCATTGTAATAATTACACCAGTCAAAATAGCTGTAATATGGTTGATTTCTTTATATTGTGGAGCTCTATGTGAGAGGAGATATTTGAGTCACTTGTTCACTTTGAATTGACTCACAGCTCGGATGACACTGCTGTCTGTCTGCGTGTTCAGTCCAACAGGTGATGGAGGCTCATTTACTGAAGTTGCTGATGGGAATCCGAGAATAAACCGTGACGCCGAAGAAGAAAACAGCCACACAGAGAGACGCCGAGCTGGGGACAATCATGTAGCACGCTCAGGCTGTCTGCCAGCAGGAACATTGAGGTCCATGAGTAACACATCTGAAGCTTCGCATCACATCAACGTCAGTTTGTTTGGATGATGTTTGTGACGTTTTCAGTTTTAATCCTTCTTCATACTGTTTTAATCTTTTACCAAATGCAGAGTAGAAAGTCTGCACCGCTCAAAAAGAGCCATGCAGCACAAATACAGATGTGCTTAATTTAAGCATGAAGTATTTAAGTTTGAAGTCTTTTGTTTTTCACATTTAAACACCATCATCAGCTGTTTCAGTGTTTTACCGTCACGGCAAGTGCTTTTAAATCTAACTCATGAACGAAGAGAAAAGACTGTTTTTAATTGTATTCAACAAATTGCCTCATAGTCAGCCTGTGTGTGTAAAATACTGACGAGCTGTTTAAGTTTGTTCTGCTGCGTTTATTTATTTATTTGAATGATTTAGACATTATGTTGTGATGTGACATTCTCTGTATTGTGATCGTGTTTTTAAATGTGTTGTGGATTCGTAACGACCTCACACCTCTTTTTAAATATGTCTGTTTAAGGCTGATTGTGTTTTCTACCATAGTTCATACAGTAAGTGGTGTATCAAGAATAACCTGTTGACCTCAGTGTCAGTCATCGTTCTGTACAGATATTTATCTGATTTTACAGCAGAAAGGTCAAACTGTTGTTTATAGCCAATGAATTGAATCTGTTATTTAATTAAAAGATGTTTTAAAGCTGCGTTCAATAGTCTAAATCATTAAGAATATACAAGTTAGTGAAGAACCCCAGTTTTAAAAAGGTGGGGCGCTGTGTAAAAGGTTAGTTAGCAACTCATTTTAACTTCATATTTGAAAATAGTGCAAATACAATGTAAATAGTCATCTCAGTGGTTCTTAATTTTAAAGTTGAAGTCAGATGCATGTTTTAAAAAAGTTGTGACAATGATTTAAAAAAAGGGTATAACAGTAAATAAACACCAAGAGGATCATCATCTCCTAACTAAACAGGTTAGTGGTTATAAAATGTGTGTGTTACAGAGGCCCAGTTCCTCAGCTGTAAAGATGGATAGTGGTTTGTCGCTGACTGAGAGACCAGGTCAGGAAACTGCTCAGGAATTTCTACGAGGATAAAGTTCATTTGCATTAAACTGAAGAGAATTTGGGCATTGCATCACCCTTATTTTACTGAAAGACTCAAAGAATCTCAAGAAATCTTTTTTAACAAAGGGAAAAGGCTGAAAACCAGTACAGAACGGTTGTGATTTTTGGTCACTCAGGTGGTACTGCCATAAAAACAGATGTGACTCCATAGTGGAAATCTCTGCACGGGCTCAAGAACCTCGGTGAGCACAGTTTAATGCTGCATCTACAAATGCAGGTTGAACTCAAAGAGTAAATGTGACTGGGTGAGACTTCTGGTTTGAGCCCATTTAAGACTGACTGATGTGGGGTTGAAAACTGTCATGTGTCTGAATCAAAAACTTACATTCTTTTTGGAAATCATAGACACCATGTCCGCAGCTCCAAAGAGAAGTGGGACAACCAAGCTGGTTATTAGTGCTTAGATCAAAGTGTGAACAGTACAGGAATGCATCCCTCAACTCCCTGTGACGGTATGGGGATGCTCTAAATGCTTCTAATGCTAAACGATGCGATATTGGCGCTGTGCAATTTGGAGATATGAAGCTTCTGCTGCTTTTTTTCAGGAGGACTCTGACACAAGACAATGCCAAACCAGACTCTGCACATATTTACAATGACATGGCTCTGTAGTAGAAGAGTGCAGGTGCTAAAATGGCCTGTAAACTGAGCTTGTATTTGTCATAAAATAAAAAGGTTTTTGATTTTTTTGGCAAAAAAAAAAGACTTTAAACATTAAAAAAAACATATTCTGTTCATTTTTTTACATTTTACACAGAGTCCTCACATTTTTGGGATGTGCATTAATGAGAATACCCTGGCTGATGATTAACCTGCACACATCTGCATGCAAACATATAAAATTATCAGAAATTGAGGTGAAAGTGAAAACCAGGAAACATGAAGCTGTGTCTTGGACAGTAGCAAAGGTTTATTCCAGATATGGTGGTTCGATCGAGGCCACAGAGAATTACGCTTCAGTAACAAGGAGGAAACGGATGTACAACAGGAGCACGGTTTAAACACAACCTCTCTCTTTAACTGGACACACACAGAGACCACAGAGCACAACAAGCATTTACACGGTCTGATGGAAACAAAGAGGTGGAATCCACAGTCAAATACCGACACTTCGACTACAGCTTTTTAACACTTCAAAGTACTCCTTCTAGGGAATAATTCATTTAAGAGTAAAAACGCACTTTGTTCAGGTGTTGCACATGTTAAAGAACGCTCACCACCACATGTTGACAGACTCCTCTCAGGTATTTTCATTTTCCACCTCTTGAATTAGACAGAAAAAAACATCTTGTTCCCTCTCATGGTCCTGTCTAGTTCTGACACTCCAGGAAGTCCCTCGTTTCCTCTAGTTTGCCTCGTCCTTGGATGCTTCGTCGAAGTTCTCCACCAGATCTGAATCGACAAAACAGGAGATTGATAGTCAGGGAAAAAGTGCAGAAGATAGAACCAGATTTCATAGTTAATTTCCAACTATATTAATGATTTTATTAAGGCAGAAGAGTCTGATGTTTCCTGATTCTTGCTTCTGAAATACATAAATTTTCTGCTTTAAATTGACCGAATCAGTCAAAAAGTGAAAGGATTTCTTGGAACCACTTCTCAAAAAGACATCTGTTTTTAAGATATGATAGGAGTTTTGAATTATACTAAAAATGATAGTTATAGCCGGTGTCAGAGGGAGCGAAAGGACAATCTGTCTTGAGAAGTTTCAAAGAACGATTCTGTGAAACATTCCCAATTCTTTTCTCATCTTTCCTCCCTGTTATCTGCTCCTCATACGAGCCCATCACAACGCCTGACCGCAGCTGTTAAAATGATAGCGCCGAGCATCAAAAAAGATTGCCTCTATTACTCCGTGAAACGTGAGAAATATGCTCCGCCGAGTTTTGGCTGGAGAGGGGGTCGGGGGGTTAAAATGGAAACAATCGGAGAGGTCTGAGTAAACATGTTCCTCCCGCTCCAGAACAAAAAGGAAACTTAACTCCAAAAACAACACGACGGCAAGAGGCTGTTAACCCCCGCGCCATCGGCCTTCAACTGCTCCCATGGCTGACTGCATGTGTGATCGTTTGTTACATTAGAGCGAAGTCCTGGGAAAGGCTGAGACGGCTGTAATGGTAACCTCATGTGTTCGGCACATTGTGCTCACAAAGAAAAGCAAACTGGATCTGAAGATCTTATAAACAGTGGACGTGATTCAAACACACAAAAAAAGCTGCATTGCACCATCGGCTGAACTCGGTGATGAATCTCATTCTTATGACCTCTTACACGGGCTGAAAGAAAACAAACCTGCTGTGCTTACTTAGCTGACAAAGAGGGGAAAAAACCTGTCTGATAGTGGACGGGCTTTAAAAGAAACAGAGTGAGCTAAATCTCTGCTTGTGTGTTCGTAAATGAAAAGAAGAGCAGACTCCTGAATGGGCTGTCGAGCGCGTGTTTAAGCTCTCACCTGGAACGTCATCATCCTCTTCTTCTACTGTTGCGATTGGCGCTTTTCCATCTGCAGCTGCAAGAACAAAGAGATCCATGAGAAGTTAGAAACCTGGAAGAGCAGAAATCATGTCCTAGGACAGAGTCTGCTCAGGAGAATTACAGCTATGAATCTTGAGAAAGGCTTCAGGACACTGTGAGCAAGTAGTGTAGTCCCCCTGGGTGGTCAACACCTGAATTACCTGAGGTATTGCTGCAAAACCTCAATTTTTCCAATGTTACATCTTAAAAATCAAATTGAGGAGCCTGTTCCTGCTGCTTTTGCAAACTTCACCAGAAACTTCAGCATCACAAACCATAAAGCTCTACTATCCTGATGTAAACACACACAGATTACGGATGGTATGGTGTTGTTTTGTAGTGTTCTGATCAAGAGAACAGAGACAAACTCCTCTGTTTTAGTATCATGTGTGACTGACCCTGTTTGGGCAGAGCCTCAGCCAGTCTCCGGAGGCTCGTCAGGCTGTCGGCTCCCAGCTGGTTCAGGATGCCCGGCAGCATCTCGGTCAGCTGTTTGGTCTCAGCGTGGCCGGTGATGGTGAAGGTGTTGGCGGCGAGGGAGGCCTGCACTTTGGGGTTGTTGAAGTGGATGACTGTTCCTTGATTTGTAAACATGTTGACCTGCAACAGAACAAAGTTTTTTCGACCATCGGGTGAGACGCGGCGCTGGGACAGATTCACTTCAAGTCAGGGGAGGTGTTCATCATACCTCTTCAATTCCAGAGATGTTGTTGACACCAAGTTTCTTTAAAGAGAACTGGAGCTTCTTGTCGTCTGCGGTGGCTGTTCTGTGTACGACCTTCTTCTTTCTGCGAGCGCTGCCCTGTGGAGACATTTATAAAAACCTCTTATTATTAATGATCTTTAAAACAACATCATCCTGACCTTAAATCATAACACCAACTATGCTTGTGGAAAGCAGTTTAAAGCCGCAATTCCTAATAACTTATATCACTTGTAAAATGTGTGACAGCTAGGAAAACCAGAAACCCTAGAGAACAAGAGGCTCTTAAGGCATTTGAAAGACAACAGAACACTGAGTTCATTTGCAAATCAAGCTTTTCAGGTCGCCTGAAATAACCCTTTACTGCATCAATTACCTTTCCGCCGATGCGGACTTGTGCCTGCAGTTTAGCAAGTTTTTCTTGATTCATTATTGTTTCTTTCATCTGGAAAAAAGAGAAGTAGATCACAGTCATTTTACAGAGTTAACAGCACAGCTGATGGTCATACTGACAGCCTCCAAACTTTTCTGGATGATTAATTATTGGGTAATATAGCAAAGACACACCAGATATCTGACAAACACAATAAAAACACAGCAATAATAATAAAAGAATGAATAAACAAATTTTTTTATGTTGTTACATCAATACAGAAAAAAGCAAACCATACAAACACAGAGAGAGAGGAGATCTGACCATAACACATGGAAAACAAAACACACCCTTTACAGTAATAGCACTTTTCAATACAGGTAACAAAGTGCTTCACAGTGAGCATTTAAGTCAGTGTGATTATGATCGTGTAGAGCTGCAGTGAAACGTCTCAGGAGTGACTTAAATTTAAGTTCAGCTGACATGGGAATGATTTTTTCAGGTCCTTGTCTGGCTTGATTTTTCACTCATTAAGTCTGAAGTAAACTGAGGCCAGCCGCTCTGTCCTGTTCATGTAAGTGCTGATTTAAGGCTCTGAGCTTATTGAGAAGCTCCAAAACACTCTATACTGTTGGAAAATTTTATCCAGAGGACAAAAAAGCAGGATTCATCTGGCTGTGCGTACTAAATTTAACATCTTACACTGCAACTTCAGTTCCTCTGAAGAAACACAAAAGATAGCTTTTAAAGCTCCATTATTTTGTCTTGACACTGTTATATCTTTGATAACTGTCTGGTAAATCAAACCTCAGGAGTCACTATGATAACAAAGTCAATATAGGAAATCTCAAAAAGTGCTCAATCAAATAGGGATGCACTGATCTGATATTCGGATTGGATATCGGCTCCAATATTGACAGATTAACTGGATTGAATATCTGATGAATGATGCCGATCAAGCGTTCCGATCCAGTCCTTTTTTTTCTTTTAATACATGGAAGTCTCAATTCTTTTTGCTGTGTGCTAATGTGCAGTTTGTTATTTGTTAATAAATAATATTAAGTAAATTTATATCTGTGTTAACTTGTTACCTTTTTTAACAAGGCTAATGTCAAGCCTGATGCCTTCACTCACAGGGCAAAGTATACAGTTCATTCATTCAACAGAAGTATTGGATCGGTTTTGGACATCAGCTGATACGCTTGGCCTAGGTATTGGTATTGGATTGCATCAGAAAAAATGGATCGGTGCATCTCTACAATCAAACAAGCTCTTCCTTTTGTATGTCCATAAATTTAAAGAAACCTTTAGGATAACTTAAGTGAGTGTACAAAACGTATTTTTAAAGTATTTTACCAACTGAGCTCAAACTTAACAAGTCAAAATGACAAACCAAACTAGTCAACACAAGCAACACTTTTCGATACATCCGGGTCTCTTATTGACTCAAAATAAACCGCGGCATTCGCGGAAACTTATAAGCCCCTCATTCGCCCCCGCGCGTTTTGTTTGTCCATTCTGGGCTCCTGTACAAAAATGGCGGTGAGATATGGTGGACTCAATGGATGAAAGCAACAACCCCTGTCAATGTGGAGATCATTTAAAGGTAAAGAAACCGAAAAAATATCTCTTTTTTTCAGGTTTATGCATACTTTTACCCCTTGTTGACAAACTACTTCAATAATAAGCCTCGAACTTTTACACAGGACCGTTTTAAAGATGTATACACACTGTTTGGACGCGAGTAACTCAACTAATACTCGACTTAAATGCACTTTATTATGTTTACCATGTTGTTGTTATTGTATTAGCGTGTAAATACTGTAAACATGGTGCAAATACACCGAATTTATGAAGTTTATAGGGAAATAACGAGAAAAAACGAGTTGGAGGATTAAATGAGGGTGTGGTTGATGTGGTTAACCGTATTAAGTAAACTAGATTAATAGTTAGTTGTTATATCCACCAACAGATAAGTAACTGTGAGTTAGTAAGCTGCAGAGAGTTAATAGTTCGGGGTTTTTAGTGTGGATGACAAGGCGAGGCGGACACATAAGATAAGGCTGTGACAGGCTCAAACGTAAGACAGCGCACGTCAGGTAACGTCAGGTAGCATTTCCTGGTGAATTAATCAAACCCCTGTCATCATCACCAAACCAAGGTGTGGTTCAGCTTTACAGCAAATAACTAACCGAGGCTAGCTTCAAGGCTAACCGGGGACCCAGCGGAGTCACTCACAGCCAAAATACCACCGTTAGTAGCTTCAAACCACCGCAGATTTCAGCCACCCAGACAGAAAAGGGTTTCGTTTACCTCTGCTTGTCGGATCGAGGGGAAACAGTGCAGGGAAGAAGGTATTTAAAGCTCCTCACTGACCTGTAAACTAACAGCAGACACATGCGGGGAGCAAGATGGAAGCGAGAGAGAGGAAGGAGGAAGTGACGCAAAGACAAAAAGCGGAGGTTTAGTGTTGGGTTTTATTTTGCCCTGAGTTTGGGCTTCACAGGCAACACGCTCACCCATCATTAAAGTTTACTGTCACGTTTTAAACTTACTCTTGAGCCATATGAGCTGATAATTTATCTAATATGGATTACCTTATGCATGTTAAAAGAGAAAGAAAGATATACAGCCTTACTTTGTGTTTAACAAGCCACTGACATGAATTTTTTCGGGAGCATAATGCTAATTATTTACTGTAATGCATCATACCGCTCCGTTTTTCACTGTATATTTCCCACCATATCGCACCCATTTAAACTGCATCATATTGCATCGCCTGACATTGCATTGTATCTCATAGCAGTGCATTGTATCACATTGTCTCGCTTTTTATAGCACTATATCACACTGTATTCTACCTCATCATATTGTATTGCATCATATTATATGAATGAATGAATGATTTTATTTCGATATAATATGAAAGTGTGCAGGCAGAAGCAATGCTTATAAAGGCCTACCCATAGACTGTATATACTATGGACAACTTGGTTCCGCTGGATTTGAAGCCGAAACGCTCTCGTATCCCCCGGGTGAGCGATGCAATCCCTGAATGCCAATAAGCTGTGTCACGTGTCAATCAAAGAAAACATGAACCCCTTACTAACTTTTAAAAATGAAGCTTCATAGAAAAAAAGGACTTGAGCACAAACCAGTCTTACTGTAACTACATGTAAACATCGGAACCAGGGGGGAGAAAAATTTATGTTCTGTGTAATAAATTTCTAAAGTTTGTCCACAGCTCCATAAGCTTTGCTGGCAGAGGCGGGATTTATGACCTATACTGCAGCCCGTCAACAGAGGGTGCTGTTCTCTAAGTGGCTTCACCCAGCGAGGGTGCAAATTTTTGACATTTTTTTGCGCTTTCAGTCTCTAAAATTGTTTAAACAGGTTCTGGATATGTTGCAGTAGGGCTAGGTTTTTGGCTTTGTACATGATTTGTATTGTTATGTCATCTACTAGGTCTTTGAATTTTAAAAAAAATTAAGGAAGTAAATAGGGGATGAGTTGATTCACAGTAATGCAGAAGACTCTTATGGCTCGCTTTTGTAAAAGAAATATTGGGTTTGTATTTGTTTTATACGTGTTTCCACAAATCTCAATGCGATAAGTCATGTACAGAGTTATCAGGGAATAGTATAGAGTGGCTAACCACTGAGATAAAACAGGATAAAACATATCCTGTTTCATCTCAGTGTAAGTTACCCAGTGATTTCCACCACTCATGTTTTATGCCCCTAAGATGAATTTACAAACTTGCACAGCTGTCATCCAAATAAAACATTTTTTAATTTCTTTTACCGCATAAATCCAAGAGTTAAAGCACTTAGATCCATTATGTACATATTAACAAATATGATCAGACATACAAGCTCCATCACACATTGCATGGTCTGGTTAACATCTTTTCATGTAAATTGGCCAGGTTTTTGATACTGCAATAAATTAAGGTAAACACTGCAAAAGAAGAAAAAGCCAGGACTGTGATTTACTGGAGATGTCCGTTATAAATCTGCACAAGAACATAAATGCATCACTGACCCTTCATTTCTCCTTAGCTCGTCAATGAGAATAAACTCAGCTAAAAAAGACTCAGACTTATGTGCCTGTTGGATCAAATTGAGGTATATGATATCACTTTATACACTCCCTTTGAAAGTTTGACTCTGATCATCTTAAATCCATCAGATCAGCTTAATTTCATTAAAAAATTCCACCGCACTTCAAGATTTATTATTGCAGATTAAGAGCAGTCACAAAGTCTCTGTGTGTTAAGTGTGTGCGTGTGAACATTTCATATTTCCAAGCTTTGTTTAAGTGTCTCTCAGGTGAGTTAGGTTTGCAGGGTGTCGGGGTGAAGAAACAGCAGATGTGGAGTTGGAGAAAGGTAGGACTCTAGCCTTTTTCTCTGAAACTTGTGCAGTGACTGTGTTACACTTTGGTCTATTGAGGGGGCTGTTGGTTAAGAAACTACAGCCAGTGTGTGGAGATTTTTCTCAGAGTGATGTTGAAATCACAAAGTAACTATCCATTTTAACTCTTTTTACCATTGTTCTATCACAACATCAGCCTCAAATATGCGCTGTTGCAGAGCTGTTTGATTTATTAAACATGCACGTGTATATGCCAGGAATGTGCATCTTGATTGTTTTCCTAACCACAGTCAGCAGAACTGCATCACACGTACTACAAACTGTGCATGCATAACCAATGATTGCAAGCCTGATCACAACAACAATAGTGAATACAAGATCATTTTTAGAGGCAGGTATATGCAGCACCTGATATCATTCTTATTTACACCACACCATACAATATACAAACACATAAATAATTGTCAAACATGAAATTAAGTACCCTGTTTCATTGTCTTATTTGGATATTCTTAAAGAACAGCTTTACAACCTAAGTACATAAGCCAACATGGGACATGCTGCTTAAAATAAAACTCATTTTTTCTTTGTATTTTATGTTGTAAATCTATTTTCAAATTAATTTATCAGTGCATATAAGTGTCTGCCTCAGGACTTGTTGTGCATTGTAGGAGCCATTTGGAGGCTTTATGTCTCTGAATGTCTCAATCTGTACAAAAGAGTTGTCACAGGTGTTGTGTTTTGTATTTGAACAGCAATCACTACTTGGTACTTGCAGAGTATTTTTCAAAATTTTGGGGACTCTCCATAATGTAATGGATGTCCAATAGGGTGCAGCAATGCAGAAGAAATAAAAAATAAACATACCAGCAAAAAAATTATCTCAGCTGCTCCTCATTGTGAAAGATGGGTAAAAACTCCTCACAGTCTTCAGAAAAACATACAGTATATCTTATTATTTATTATTATCATTAATACAATGTTGGTTCAACAAATACAACAGACAACATGTAAAAAAAAGGGAAGCCATTAAGATTTTTGGACCAGTTAACAAATTAAACCTAAATATCCAGGGTCAAGTTTTTCCTTTTTAGGTTTTTTCATTTTTTTATTGCCTTTTCTACACTTTTAATCCACTTTTATGTCATATTTACAGCCTTTATATGAACACCTCTCTGAGCAATAATTTATTTTATATTTATTTAATTGACATTGATTCAATAAATGTGACAGACAACATGCAACAGATCTAAATTAAATCTGTTCATTTGCTGCAATTTGAAATTCAGTATCAGGAAATTTTAGAATATAATAATTTAATCTTGAAAGAACCTTTCATTACATATCCAACCTTTTTTCCCAGTAGCGTAACTTGCGAACTGTCCCAACCTAACCTCTTGAGAGAGATGTTGTGCTAGACGCCTTGTGGCTTTAACTGACTCGCTAAAACTAGGCAAAAATCAAAACTACTGGCTGTCACTTCTTGTAAATGTTTGAAAAATCACCAAATGTTGTCTCACCTCAATGTTTTCTGTCTTTTAAAAAGACTGAGCCTGGAATTAGACAAAACTCGATATAAACATGATGATTCAACACCCAAATGTTTGGCTGTAATTAGAAGCGTGACAACCGACCCCGGTCTCCCCTACTAAATAGACTTTTGTGAAATAAATCTGACATTAAGGTTTAATTCCACATATTTAATACAAGCATGCTAATTTTTAATCAAGTAATTGATAAATAGAAATTGAGATGACAGTGAAGTTTGACAGGCATGTAAGATATGTAATTGGTCCTCTGTCTGGCCTTTTTGTCCATGTGATAGATTATCCTGCATTAATAAGAAGCCCTGCAGGCCATCTCTCTCTCTCTCTCTCTCTCTCTCTCTCTCTCTCTCTCTCTCTCCCTCAGTGCAGGACCGCGTTTTAAACATGCTAAGTGCTCTCTGTGCTCCTGTATGGTGGCACGGAAACACCCTGGGATTGCAGAGGGGGAATTTAGACACACTTCAGAGGAGGTTAACTACACATGTAAGAGAGAGAGAGCTGCTGCTGTGTGTGGGGTTAGAGAAAAAAACATCCTAGTTCATTCATTAAAGGCAGATTTTCTTAATTCCTAACAGTGTCCGTCTGTGCTCTCATATAAATTCGAAAAACGAGCTTTCATGCTTGAAATGAACCCTTAATTAACCAGCTGTATCACTTGAATGAAATACATATGATTTTAATTCATAACATACAGTGATACTGTAGGCTTACAACCACGACACATAATGTTAACACCTGTACAATCTAAAGCAATGACTTTCAAGGCTTCCAAATATTCAGTTTTTGTTGATATACTCATTTTTGAAGACAGGCAACAGTTTACAACAGGCTTATTCAGTGATAACTGTGCTAACTCGTTGGCCTATAACTTAAAATTGAAGAAGCTTTTGCAGTTAAATTTCTTGATGTTAACGTATAAAACAAAGATTTACAGGCAGGTGATTTTTCACCAATAGGTTTCATTGCTCAATATTAGCTCAGCAATGAAACTGTAAGCTAACATTGACGATTAAGTAAGGCCAAATTTCGACGACGAATTAGGACATATTCTCGTACCTTCCATTCACAGTTTAATTTACCACATACAGTAATTATGTAGGCTTACAACCATGAGCCATTGAGTTAACACCTGTACGATCAAAAGCAATGACTTTCAAGGCTTCAAAATGTTTACCTTTTGTTTATATGCTCAGACAGTATTTTTGGCTAGCTAGGCCTGTTTATTATTGAAGACATAGGCTACTAGTTCAGTTTACAACAGGCTAATTCAGTGGTAACTGAGCTAACCCATGGACCTCTAACTTAAAAGTGGAGAAGCTATTGCAGTGAAATATCTTTACGTTTACGTCTAAAACAAGGATTTATAAGCCGGTGATTTTTTTCACAGATAGGTTATATTGCTTAATGTTAGCTAAAAAAAATGAAACTGTACGCAAACAATGACGGTTAAGTTAGGCCGAATTTCGACGACGAATTAGGACATATCATCGCATTTTCAATTCAAAGTGAAATTGAGCTCCGCTTAATGAGTCATTTTTGCAACATATAAAGACAACAATTCAATAGCTTTAGTTTTGGCAGCCTTAGTTTTAAGGCTGCCAAAAGGGGACAGGTGTCTGAAAGTGCTGGAAGAGTTAAAGGGAGTCCCCAAAAACGTATGCTTATTCTGTAAAAATGTCAACAAGAGAAATATATAGCTGTATATTTTTTATTTGTTTATTTATTTAGTCTAGTGCGTATTAACATCTGTCTTGTCAGTGTTGGTAACTTGATTGGGCTTCATAATCTAAAAATCAATATTCCTTATAAGGCAGTCTTCCTTGTGGTAAAGTTTAGTGTTATGAAGTTGCAAAAGTGTGACATTTCAGACTGTTAGAAATGCAGAAAAAAACAGCAGTTTATTGCAGAAATGACATAAAACATGCTTTATGCTGCAACACTGTATTGACGTTCGGTAGTGGGCTATACAGGCTTATTAGGTAAATGTTGTCTAATAGGCCATGTTTATGTTTTTTTCCCGGTTGTTGGTAAATTTCTGAAACTCTTTTTTAAAAACTTGAGTTAATCTTTGATTTGACTATAATAAAGTCCATGACAAATGTGTGGTCGTAACACATCTGGAGGAGTTTTCATCACAAATAGGCCAGAAATGTTTAAACTATGAGGCAATATGACCGCTAGATGGCGCTGCTCAAATAGAAACCACTGAAAAGTTTCTCATAAGGGCCCTGAAAACATTTCACCAGTGGGAAATCGAGACTTAACAAGTCCTTGTATAGGGCCTATAGTTTCGGGTTTTAGGTTATAACTTAATGTCACTCAAAATAATATATTTTACTGCAGTTAGAGTGCATTAACTTGACTTAAAGCTCCTCTTTTTGTGAGGGATGAAGTGAGAATTAATGTATTAAAGTTTGGATAAAGTTTCTAGCACGGTTTAATAAAACTTTTAGGAGTGCAATAGTTTTTTTAATTGCTCTCTTTGTTTTAAAAAAAATTGAGAAGCATGTCTACTGTCTTCTCGAACAGAAATGAAAACTTACAAAGTGCATTTGCTACCGCCCTAAAATAACACTTAATTACACTTATACAAATGTCAAATTTGATGCAAAGCGAGACAGACTTTTAGAGCAAAACCGATAAAAAGTAATAAAAATTCATCTTTTTTTGCTCCACTTTCAATCCTCTTACTCATTTTAAACTTAACGTAAATAATAGATGCTTACACACAGGACAAATGTATTTAAGGGTCTAATCTTGATAACAAATAAAATTATAAACACAGGCCAACTTTTGAATGGACCCTTAAAAATTTTTAAACTTAGCATTAACACAACTTTTCCTCTACAAACTGCCTCTTAAAGCTTTGTTAAGCTGGTGTATGTTCTACTTTGATAAAATTAATTTAAATCAGTTGAATTTTCATCCTCAGTAACTCTATGAAATGAAGTAAAAAAATAACAGAGATGTCTTCGCACACAGCACTCACCGCTCCATGCTCCAGACGCACGGCAGAGGCCTTATATCTGGGGCTTGCATGCTCTGCGTGACCCGTGACTGATTCGAGTTAACAGCTGACTCTTTTCCATTACAAATGGCTCGCGGATAATCTAGATAACTACCGGATCACGCAAACTGAGCTGCCTGGGTTTGGCGCACCAGACCCCGGCATTACTTTTCACGGTTTTCACACCAGATATCACAGGTCTTTTTGGATGTTATTTTTGCACCAACTTTATTTCACCTCCAGGAATTTTCTAGCGTTTGTTTTATACAATCCTAATATCCCTCATGGGCCTGTAAAAGAATCAAGTTGCGTATAAAACTGCGCACGTGTTGTGTTCATTTCCCCCCTCGTAACTAAGCCTAAATAAATAAAACGGTTGGCAAAATATCCGCTTTAATATAGCGATGACCACACCACCAATTAAACTTTTAAAGACTTTTTTTTAATCTCTCGAAATCTGTTTTTGCGCCAAAAACTGCGCCGGAATAAAAGCTGCAGATTATTGCGGACAGCAGGCCACCAGGAATGCCCACTAAAAAGGATGTAGGCCACACCAAACTTTTTTTTTTTTAAACCCACTCACAGTTAATTTTCAAAGACCTTTTTTGTTATAATTTTCTCTCTCTTTTCATTTGCCTCGGTGACGTTTCCAAAACCACGTGATCAGGACGGCGGTATAAATACCGAGAGAAGGTCCGCCCCCTCCGTGATTCAGGTTTGGACCTTTTGCAGGTTCCCCGGCGCAGTTCTCACTCTGACAACGACGGGGACTGTACCTTTAGTTTGCGTTATTTACCAAAAAACCTGCAAACATATGGAAATAGCGCTAAAAGAAGGGGGACATCTCTCACCGACGGCGACACGTGCTCGTACCCCTCCTCATATGAGTTGTTGAAGAGGGAGGGCAGGGCAGCTCATCGTCTTCCTCATCTGGCGTCGGAGGGGCACAAGCCGCGGTGTGTTTGAGAGCCATGACTCTGAGCTCCGAGATGTCGGATGCCTCCATCCTGTCCGAGGAGACCGACATAGACGTGGTCGGCGAAGGAGAGGATGGGGACAACCACACGCGCTCCTACGTGGACGAGGTGGCACAGATGCACGATGGCATCCTCCTCGCCGGGTCCTCTCCTCCTCCGTGCCTGGACGGCTCCACCTCCTCGAGGGATACCTACAAGCCGACGGGCAAGAACACCCTGGTGAAGCCCCCTTACTCCTACATCGCCTTAATCACCATGGCCATCCTGCAGAGCCCCAAGAAGAGGCTCACCCTCAGCGAGATCTGCGACTTCATCAGCAACCGCTTCCCCTACTACCGGGAGAAGTTCCCGGCGTGGCAGAACTCCATCAGACACAACTTGTCTCTCAATGACTGCTTCGTGAAGATACCGAGGGAGCCCGGGAACCCTGGGAAAGGCAACTACTGGACCTTAGACCCGGAGTCCGCTGATATGTTTGACAACGGGAGTTTTCTGAGGCGTAGGAAACGCTTCAAGCGGCAGCAGGCGCAGGACTTACTGCGGGAGCACAACAGCTTTATCCCGGCAGCTGCTGCCGCGTACGGGTATGGACCGTACGGCTGCGGAGGATACGGCATCCAGCTCCAGTCCTACCACACACACTCTGCACTTTTTGCTTTCCAGCAGCAGCAGCAGCAGCAGCAGCACTCCAGGCATTCACACTCACACACAGGGACCATTATACCCGCTCCATCCTTGATGCCCACCACCACGGACTTAGCCCGGACTAGATTTTACCCGCAGCTGACACCCACCCTGGGCTCGGCGAGCGTGCAGGCTGCAGCCCAGGCGCAGAAATCCAGCTCCCCGGTGCAGCGTTCCCCTTTCTCCATAGAGAGTATCATCGGTGGGTCTCTGAGCCCGTCAAGGACTTCTCCCGTTGTTGTCCCGGTCTTACCGTCCTCTTTGGGGGCTCCAGCTGCCAACCACCAGCCTGGAGCGGTCTTGCACCCGGTTGAAAACTTTCCCAACAGAGTAGGGAGCGGCTCTGGCGGGTGTTAGATGTCAAAACATGCCGGTGCAGCGTACGGCGCAGCAGCTTCCCTCCTCCAGAGAGAGCATCATCACTGGGACTCTGAGCCCCTCCAGGACTTCTCCGGCCCACGCCCCGGACTTGCTGTCCTCTTCAGGGGCCTCAGGAGTGTTTTTCTTTTTACACCCGGTTGAAAACTTTCCGAGCAGAGTTGCTGCTCGTGGGTGTTAAATGTCTTAACAAGAGTACTTTTTTCAAAACAGACACAGCAACAAAAACAAAAACCGTCCCTCTTTGAAGGTAGGATTATTTTTGTACGTTTATTTGCTAGCACGCAGCTGAATGATGGACATGAACCAACACTATTTGTGCCTAAATTCATGCTGTTAAAAAAACATATTTATGTTCTTTTATTTCGGTGTGAATCAGACTTTTAAACCACAAACTTTTCCCTGTGTTTCCCATGAAGTAAATTCAGTCACTGTTTAGGGCGTCTCAGGATAACGACTTAATGGACAGGTTATAAATGATCACGTGTTTATAAAAATAGGCTAATAATGTATTTGTGTCAAACACATCCATGTTTTGTTTTTTTATTAGTTTGGCAAATCAAACCACTTTTTATGGTTTTGATTTGAACTTTGTATTAAAGACAGAGAGCAAAGTCATACATTTATAAAAAATAATAATAATAATATGCAGTGTGTGTTTTATTTCAGTAATTGAAACATTGTACATTTTTTGGGCAACTATTGTGTAATTGAAGTGTGATATTTTTACACAGTTTGTTTTTTCAACAAGAATAAATTTCGTTTTGCAAAAAAAGGTAATTTGTTTGGAGATAAATTTTTGAAAGTGCGTTTAAATTAGGTGGAAAGTAGGCAAAATTAGACCAAACTAAACTCTTATTTTGAAATGTTTAGGATTTAATGCGCCGATTGTTAGCTTATGCACTTTAATAACAACCTGAATAGACATTGAAATTACAGCTATGTGGCTTCGAAATAGGGGTTCAACAGTGTTTCCATTTCAGAGAGCCTCTAAAAGCGCCTCAAAAACAGGAAGCGCATGTCAGGTTGTGTTGTTGCACCCTTTCTGTACACTATTGAACATGCGCACAGGAGGCCTGCGTGTCCATCTGACCTCTCTCACACTCATCCTCGTAATTACGGTGCTCGGACATGGAAGGTGTCAGCGGGGTGAGGCAGGAGGCTGTGTATTTTTTCCTGCTTCAGGTCGGTGATTAAACCTCTGCTGCTGTCCACAGATGTGCGAGCTCTCGAGAAAAAAACACACTTCTCATGCTCTTGTGTGGCACATTTTCACCCCCTAAAAAATAAAACACACTCTAAAATCTAGCGTGCCACTTGGTTACTAAATGCACCAATATCAACTGTTTATTTTACACCTTACCCATTTTTTATCTTGTGTTTTTATGGTGACACAGAGGGCCAAAATAGCGTGCGTAAAAGCGCATACAAATGTGCAGATCAGTGTAAGGCGATATGGTAAACATAGGCCTGTGAGTAGATTACTTAATAGGCTATTTTTAATCCCAATGAATAGCCAACACGCTTCCAAAACAAATTAAAGTCCAAACGCTTTGGTGTGCAGTATATCGTATATCGCTGCTACTGTAATTCTGCTGCATGTCAGACCTCCTCTTTTTAATCTCTCTCTCTCTCTCTCTCTCCCCGTGTGGACCTTTACTGTACAACCCCTGCTGCTTCCGTGACTGGATGTGTTCGCCCGTCGACTGCGTGTGCCTGCCTCCCCTGATTCAAAGCAACGTGTGTGTGTGTGTGTGTGTGTGTGTGTGTGTGTATGTGTGTGTGAGAGTGAGTGTGTGTGTGTGTAGTAGATAGCTAAATTGGTGCAGCGCTTAGAGCCAGTTCACTAGGCCACGGGAGGACAGCTATTGCGTGATGATGTAACACGCAATGAGAGACAGACAGGCACACAGACACACACACACATACACTGAGGAGAGTGGAAGGAGGTCAGTTGTATGGACTTGTTTACAAATGGAGAAGGTTAAACAGGGGGATTGAAAGGATAATCAATGCGTTAAGACACCTCACAATGGCTCGGGCTTGTTTCGATCAATCGGCTACAACCACAGTCAGAGTTTCTTCAATGTGCACCCTCAGGATAACATAATAAATGATATCTTAATGGCATAAATTGAATAAATGTAAGATTTATATAGTGGATGCATTTGTAATGCCCTACACCAACAGTGCGTAAAGCTGCCCTATTGTATTCGTTTGCAGCTTACACAGTCTGGCATCATTATGGTGTAAATGTGTTGCATTAACGTCGTGTTTCTAGCTTATTATCAATGAAAAATTAAATATAATCATGTTTTCAGGAGTATTTCATGTTAAAATGTACTCTTTCAGTCCTTTTAAACCTAAACTCTTTCTATTATGGGTCTATTTATCACGTATTTGCTGGATATTTTAAGCTAGTAGCTGGCTTTTGTTGATGCTAACATGTGTGCATGTATCTGGACGCACCCAGAGCTGATTTCAATAATTGACGAATTTTATCTGAAGGTAGGCTAATACAAAATAAATAAATAAAAAGCTTCATTACGAATTAACCGTTTAAAATATAAAAACATCTCCCATTTATGCTTTTCAGGAATCATGTTTCATTAGCTATGATTTTAATAATGATTTTAGCCGTACGAGCCGCTGTTTTTTGAGCTATTTTTGTTGTTAAATGTGTAAATATCCTGTCGAGGGCTTCCTGTTTCGGGTCAAAAAGACGTTTGAATTTAATACACATGCGCAATGAATGACAAACCGTTAAAGAATCATTAAATTCAAATTCAATTTATACAACTTTATTAATCCCTCGTATGAAGCACCCCGAAGGCCTGTATTAAAAGATAAGAATTAAATATAGCCTAAATACAGTGACTAACACGTAATTATACACACGAGTATATATGATGTAAAGTCACAACTGAATATTTAATACACTCATAAATAAATACATAAATAGACAGAGTAAAATCAATAACAAGATCAGTCTAATAGTCTACAAGATGAAAGTATCTATCTATCTATTTGTATTTAATTAAAATACATTCACAGTTGCAGGTCACAGATATCTTTATTATTATTATTTGTGCCTTTCACTCTCAGTATCACCAGATAAAACAAAATAAATATATATTTTTTACTTCTTTGGCTAATTGTTGTTGTTTTTATGTGACTAACAAAAAAAGTCTTACGATTTTTGTAATAATAAACTAGTAATCCTAGTTTATTATGTTTATGTAAGTATCATAAACATGTAATAATTCTGTTTCTTTTTATTTTTATGGCCTTAAAATGTTTCATTCTCTTAAATAATAGAAAGTTAGTTCTCCTGATAAGTAATGGCTAAGGTTAAAACAGACAAAGTCGATAAATAATTCAAAGAAACTCTTCAGGAAGTTCCTGCGATTTTAAAAACCTGAGTGTTTTGCGACTCTCATGTGATAATGTCTGATCGAGTAACTCAGGGTCTGCTTCATTAAGCATGTAGTCATGAGCTGTATAAAAAGTAGCCCAGTTTTAAAAAAAGGGGGTCTTTTCATGACATGTCATAGATCATGTGGACATCAGCCTCCTTGAGCATGACTGAAGCTCAGTTAGCAGTTTATCCTGTGGGGTCAGAGGTCATGAGGAGAGGGGATAAAGCACAACACTCAGCCCATAAAAGACACTGGGCTTTGGGTAAATGTGTTGGAGCATTCAGGGCTGTGAGAATAATCTATATTTCAAAGGAAGTCATAAAGACGATGGCTACTTTAGTTATAAACTTACAGGGCCAGTAAACGTTTGGGTCATCTGGGTCACCTATGGTCCTGCTCAACCTCATCGGCTTTTGTCAGCGCTCCACGTCAGCAGATATACGTTTTTTAAGGACATAAAACTAACCATAGCTGCTCAGAATAAACATTGTACTCATATTTCTGAAACACGTATGAACAAGAGGATTATAAATATTTGTCTGGCTTTCAGTGTTTGCGGCTTTTGGATGAAGGAATGATGCAAAAATGTGAATGAAAAAAACCCACAGGCTTCTGTTTATGTCGCAATAAGTTGTTGCAATTTGTCGCTCTTATTAGCTATTTTTTAGTTTCATACAAATCAACACAACATGAGAGATTAAACGACTATAATGACATTAAAATCGCATATTTATTGAATTTTTAGGAATATTTTTGTGAAAACGACAACAACAACAATAACAGTGATAATGGCCAGTTACTTGCAAATCACTTCAAAATCCCATGTGCAATCAGTAAATCTTATTTTTTCCCCTTAAAAGTTATATAACAAAATAATAGTAGAAATGTGAAATTAATAAACTGCTCTGCAACATGTTTAATAATTCACAATATCAGGTGAGGGAAGTGTATCCAGAAGTCCCAAATGAGGGAACCGAGCTGGTCTTTGTGTTGTTGTTGGTCTTCAAAGTAGTAAATTTATAAGTTACTGAAATATAATGATTGTAAAAGTTATTCCTAACCATAAATCATAGGAATCTGTTATAACTAAGTTTTTAGCTTAGAAAATGAAAAGCAAATACACACAGTTTGAAAAGTTTAATGAAGTTTACAACTTTAAGAGACTAAGAAATAAGATCTGATCAATTATCTATAAAATAATATGAGAAATAACATATAAGTTTGATCTGTATTCACACAAACTTTGACTAAAACACTTTTTTGTGGTGTTCATAATATTTAAAATTTACCAGTCAGAACCTTTAATTCAACCTAAACCCATGCCCAAATAACTTCTGCAAAATGTAGTTTTTAGTCAAACTTAAACATCTTTTTAATCATTTATTTGATTCTTGTACTAAAAATATGTCAACGAAACTCACTGTTTACGTCATATATGACAACTTCTGGCACAAAAAGACCCGTTTTAACAGCTTCAAGCCCTCAGATCAGTTTGTATGAATGAAAAACATCAATCATGCATCCAAACCTTTGAACATCTGTTCATGTGAAATGTGCAGA